AGAATACAATCACAAACAGTACATGAGGTTTGTGTAGTTCCGGCGCACGAACCGTTGTATAATCGTGTTCAGAAGAGATAAACGGTCAAAATAATTAAATGATCTTTTGAGGCCAAGGACCACCAAGATTGTGGGGGATATATGCCTATATAGTAGTCTAAACAACTGATGTAATGGTGTGGTTCACATGTTCCACCCAGAATCGAGCTTCCTGTTCTCAGATTCCACCTTCACTCGTATTTGAAAGTTGAGTATAATAAGTGACGCAAAAGGTCCTGTTAGAACGGGGGTCAAGCTTACCCTTCTGCTATTGCCACACCGCCTTTTTGAGCAAAATTAATAGGAATAGGCACCATTATCGACTAAACATAGCTGACCGTAACGGTCTATTTTGCCCCAAATGGAGGATTTTGCCTCCATATTTGACTAGATTGCGTGGAATTTCGTCAGGGCTTAAAGCTCAGTCGGAACTTCGGGACAAAAGGCACTTACTTATTTCCGAAGCCACCGGAAGTTCCTGGATAACCTACAAGAAAAGCGTTTCATTTTGGAAATCCGGCTGAGTAACTAAGGTGAATAGTTCAATTGTTGTTGAAAACGTTATGCTTAGCGACTCAAGCGTCCTTAGACTTCAGTGATAGGTGAGCCGTCGTGATCGGTAATTGTATAGTTAACCTGGAGCTTTTTCAGAAATGTTTTACTTGCCCAGAACAGTTTCCACCCATTCTCAGAGTTTTCCTACTTGTCCATCTTCTCGGCTTTATAGACGCAACAACCCTCTGTGTACGTACAAATACTATTTTGCACCTGAAGTCTTAGAGTTCTTCGTCTCAGACTATGCTCAACCGATGAAGTGAATGTTCAGGCTTCGAACAATTTTAGAGTGTTCCTCAAAACCTATTTCCAAGATCCAGTTGATTGCGTCATTTCACAAGTGGGCACTCTAGCATCTTGCAGTGTTGTGGACAATAACTTTCATTTAGAGTCGGCATCAGAAGCGTTGTCCAGAGGGAAATTTAGCAGGTGGTTCTGGTAGACTTGTTTCACTTTAGGGTCTGATGGTTTCTTAATGGTCAGGAAAGGTGTGAGCACATTGCGCATCCCTGAAAAGCCTAAGGAGGGACAGCAATGAACCAGCGCGCGATTCGAATTCCTATAAATGTCACTGAATTGTCAACAATTGGTGATAGGCCAACGCCATGCACAGATAACGGCGATGTGGTCTGTCCGTATTAGAGGTTGACTCACCTGAGAAGGATACCATGTTGCCGAGTGAGTTTGGTTGGTTGGGGACTACAGGGCTAACGTCTGTTGAGGGGTAAGCAGATACGATGAATAGACAGCGATTACTGACGCGTTCATGGGAAAGCCCCACAGACGTTGCCAAACGAACCACATACAGGCGGCTATACACGTGCAACCACTAGAGCAAAGGCTGTTTAGCTCGGTAGATTGGAACAGCACCGAATCAAGCAGAATCAGCGGGTGTGATGGCTTTTGAATCAACTGGGGTAAAAACCTTTCAGCTGTAGCACCTTTTCGGCGCCTAACTGCTACGCCACCCGTAGAAAGTACGGGGACTAGGATACTGCCAGGTTGCCCAAGCCTAGACAGGGGAACTTGAAAGACAGATGTCGGGTTCGAACTACGGACCTTCCGGTCAGTGAATCTGCGCCCCTATCCAATTGGGCACTAGAGCAAAGGCTGTTTAGCTCGGTAGATTGGAACAGCACCGAATCAAGCAGAATCAGCGGGTGTGATGGCTTTTGAATCAACTGGGGTAAAAACCTTTCAGCTGTAGCACCTTTTCGGCGCCTAACTGCTACGCCACCCGTAGAAAGTACGGGGACTGGGATACTGCCAGGTTGCCCAAGCCTAGAGAGGGGAACTCGAAAGACAGAGGTCGGGTTCGAACTACGGACCTTCCGGTCAGTGAATTTGCGCCCCTATCCAATTGGGCCATCTCGCCTATCTAGGGTAAATTAAAATCTACGTGGAAGTTAGTTCTGGCAAATTTACCTCACTCTTAGGCCTTGTATCAGACAAACGAAACACCTGTTAAAAGCGAATCCAGCTCATATGCAATATCGGTGTGTTATCTATCTTGTTTCAGATGGCGAACGTTAAATCCTGCCAGATGAACTGCGTGTTGGGGTTTGAACGTTGGTATTGATGTGCCTGTGCCGTGGCGACTAAGTCAAAACGTAGACATTGCGGCTAATGGAAATGAGCGGCAAACAGGTCTATCAGAGGTTTATAACCAACCTCTGGAGATGTCACTGGCAACTGGATGAATCGGAAGAAAAGAGCAGATATGTGGTTTCAAAGATAGGAAAACCCGGAAGTAGCCTGTTTTTGATTAGCAGCTCTGCTTTATGGAGCACGTAAGGCGACACGTCTGGTGGCATAATTTGTCCCCCAATTTGCGCAAGCGTTTATGTGGATGAACAGTTCATTTTAATATATAGGGTGGGTACTGGCAGTATACCAACTCCTTGATAATAAGACAGTTACTGTCCCATGCAAAAGCCTGATAGTGAGACGGCGGTGGCCGGCGGAAAACCTGATTTTTAAGGAACAATTTGTCACACACAGCTTGGAGAACCAATCGGCTGTATTAATCAGACCGCTGCCCATTGATCAGCCTGGTATGATGGGATCTTCGAGTTTTACACATACATTTTACAGGACTTAGCAGTGAGTTTCGGTAGTGCACAACTATTCGTGCGGAGATAATATGCGATTTCTACGAGATTGAGTGTGGTGAGAGCTTGACAATAGTTTTCTTTTTCATAGTCTTCTACCAGCTACGCAAATTTATTTTGATTGCGCTCCCTTATGTTCACATTTCGTAATTCATCTCAACATTTTGTGCCCGATTGTTTCATTGTTTTTTCCATTCAGTTCTTTCGGTCAAAGTTAATTCACCGTGGGTGTTTATTGGGTTGGCGTAGTAGGATATTTTGATTGTGCTGTAGATTGTTTAGGATGTTTGATTGATTTTGATTGAAGACAGTACCGTGTCAGACTGTATGGTTTCTGCACGGACAACATCAGCTAAATAAATGAAAACGAAGACTTCCAAGAGCAGTGTCATTTTATAATACGAGCTGAGTTTTAGATTACCCAAATATATGAAATATATTTTAAGCCTAGCGCAGTATCTTACGGACAAACAGAATTACTAATTCAGACAAGTACGGCTTAGAAAGCCAATAGTTTCTATGTTTTCTGATTTATTGTAACTAGCTCCGACGTCCTCAAATTTTGTGCAATTCTATTTGGGAGCCCAATCGCCCGTATTGACGTATTTCACAATAATAGAGGGCCATACGATGTAGTTTTCATTCATATTTGCTAGTCTCCAGGTACGCTTTTAAATGGCATCTTTAGCTTTGATGATTAAGGTTTAAAACATTGTTCAACAGTGTTCATAGACCAATCAAACTTAAGTTTGTATCTGTAGATCGCTTCAGATAAACAACAGTCTATCACAATTGATGGTTCACCTCATGTGTTTTTTGAGTAGATGGCTGACTGGGTTATATAAAAACCATTTCGACATGTAAAGTCAACCTACTCTGAAAAGGCCAGGACACTGTAGAGCCGTGTTACTGGTGCGCATTTAAAAAATCTTCAGAGAGCCTGAAAGACGTCCCGGCTACGCTAAGTGCCGTGTGTTAGGGCTGTGAATACTTGACCAACATTACAACCTTCTTTCACTCAGACAATTGATATCGCTTGCAGCAATACGAATTACATTATATGATTTTGTGTGACCGGCTTCGCGAGTGATGGCTTCAACGGTTTAAGATCCGTGCAATTCGTAGGGCAGCCTCTGTTAGTAAAATGATTAATTTTGACCAGATGTATTATAGACGTTTGAAGATTCAAACTAAAGTGACTTCTTGGTTTAATTAATAGGCGCACATATACCATCACAAGTTTAGAACAACCTTCATAGTTTTAATGTGTTATTTCACAGTCAGAAGCCATTTTCATTCCACCTAGGGACGCATATGTTTCTGGACTTTCTATTTTACTGTGCATGCGGCAGTTACACCAAGCCGCATTAGATACAAGGATTGTTCACATTTAGGGTTCAATTTGTGGTCTGCAGCCTGCCAGCAGACAAACGTACCAGATTCTCATTTGCACCTACAACGGTTAACTTATTTTCGCTATCAAAAATCCTTTTGCTTCCGTTTGTGTGAAACGTCTTTACAGTTCTTAACACCTTCAGAATGTTTGTCACCTAGCTGAGCTGTGACTGGAGGAATATAGTAAACTTTAGCCGCATACTATATGTCTAGATCCGAGTTGCGCACTTTACCGGATATTTAGTCGACAACAGGTAAGTATTACATTGCTGCTTGTTGTTCAATGAATGCGGTCAAAATTATCATCTCAAAGATGGATTCTGGGTGGTATCTTGCGACTTTACACCTACTCCGCTTGTAATTAGTTGACACATCATATCTACCTACCAGAACAAATAACAGCGGACCATTTTCCCGACAAGCACGCAGCTACTTCCTTGCCACAGTGCCTTCGGGAACTTGGTTTATTGCTTTCATAAGAAGTTAATATTAGTGGAACATCTTACTTGTTTGAAAACAAAAAATATACAGCAGCCGTTTTACATGTGAACTATTTCTTTGGCATATTATCTTCCATAGTTATAAGGCATTTTTGTCTTTTATGTTCACTTAAGGAACATTACGATCTCGTGATTTAGATTTCCATCCTTTTCATTGCTTCATAAACCTCGCTGGGAAGAGCACTTCACGTCCGAGTAAAAAACCACCGGTATTTTGTTCGATATATTTCTAAGACTGCTGCCGAGGATCTTTGCTATGGTCATTCAAAAATAATGTTCATATTCAGTGTTTGATTTCGAAAATCTATCGGAATTATTGAGGCCGGAGTATAACAGTCAACTTGATGATGCCAGTCAAGCAACGGCACTTTGTATCTGCTGTGTTCTTCTCAATCGAGTAATGGTGTTCCTGGAACCAAACGACTTCATGGACGATATGGAATGGAAACCTCCATCAGCCAGTTATTTTATCAGGTACGAAATAATTCTGTTTGTCTGTGTGCGTACTTGCTGTTATCTATTATACTCTCTCTAGAGTTTGGCTGGAATTTCGTTTGCTTCACAAAGCATCACGCAACACAAACTGATATCTGCGTGCCAGGTGTATATTAATACATTAATCGTTCAGGAAGAAGTTCTATGACGGCAGGTTAATTCCTTCTTCTCTCGTGACGTCCACTTCTTGTAAGAATTTGTGCACAATCTTATATTTGGTACTGTGAGGCTTTGCACGAACGTGGATTATGTTGCGATGCCGGTGGAGTAACCGGAATCATAGTCTTTTGAATTTCAAAGACAAATCAGCCACTGATTATTATCAGAAAGTCACCAGTCTTCTATTATTGATCAAAATTCCTAAAACCAATTATCCCTTCCACCAGAACTTGAACATTTTCATAATCTGGTTAGTTTTGTTGCACATCAAAAGCAAACACGTCTCGTTCTGGATCTCACAAAGCTATTCAAAATGTACACTTAGACGTGGAAGATAACCGAGCTAGTCTAAAACACTTGTTATCTAGATAACTACAGGTCTTGTTCAAACTGACAATGGATCAGTTTTAACAGCCATACCCCTGCCGCAGACGGATTGAGCAAATCTACATTATTTATCTCTAAAGGCACAATCGGCCCTGGGCAGCAGTTTGTGTGGGCCGAATGAGGATGTTATTTGACGGATCCAGAATAAAGTCGTTCCCAGTGCATGCGTTTTCATTGATGAATTGACGAAAATAGGTGCTTACGTTTCAGAAATAGGCCTGCCGAACCCTTTGCCGTGGTATGCACTCAAAATACGTCTGATTGCCTAAGGTAGGGGACCTTTGTAAGTCTGTCATGATCTATTTCAATATCAAATATACTAAGCAGGAGGGTATTCCTACTGAAAGGAACTCCAGATGCATCCTTGTGGGTCTATTATACCAGATTCAAGCAGTCCGCAAAGCATAAACCTACAAGAGGTAACCTAGGGCATTTGTCTCAGCCACTAAATGAGTAGGTTTATTATCTCTTGAACCTTAATGAATTTTGGTTTCTCCCGAAATTGAACTTTATCATCCACAAAGTTACGGCTCATCAAAGCTGATGCCTTTTTCATTCTGCTACCGGGAATGTAGCCTTGCCTTCTGTCCCAACGGCCAAATAATTACTTTGGTGTTGTTGTTTGGGGAGTTCTAGTTCTATAGCTAGATGATTAAAAATTCAGTCTTAGGTTTCCTCTTATATTCGTAAACATCATTGTTTACTGTGATGTTTGCCGGCACTTTTTGTGAGTATGTTTGGGTGAGGGTCACGATATCAATGTTTCCTCTCACATATTGTGGGATACTTGGTTCCTCAGGCCACTTGCTAGGAAGACTTCAAAAAGTTGATAAGATATGCGACAAACAAATACATGCTTACAGAAGCGTCTGCTACCTGGATGGACAGGCAACTTTCTGTGGCTAGTGGTCCAATTTAGTGCAACTATAAAGATTTCCGAATCTACATGGGATTTGCCCCTGACTTTACAAATTCCAGCAAAAAAATGCATTCTTCTCAAGCTGTTATAGAGGTTGGACGTTTTTCAAGCCCCCTAACTTATTGAGGAATACTGGCGAATTCGTTTGGTAAACTGGAACAGCTCACACCAGGTTGGTCATTGAGTAAAGGATTGAAGAATAGTCTCCTGGTTGCATTTGGGAGGCGAACGGGTTCTCGACTTGTTCCGATTTGCGTACAGAAAAGGACTGCATTAACAAAGGTAACCTCATACCACAGGCTGTCACGTGGCGTTACCTTATTTGCAACGTTTAACGAGCAACAGTTGGAATGACTTTACCTCAAATATTTCCCTTTTTATATAGGATATTTCTCTTGTATTCCACCTGAGAAACTACTCAACCTTGTTGAAATTTTTCTCGAGTTACATCAACCATGGTTCCCATCCCCGAACAAAAGTTTGCACGAATTTAGACATCTTTAAACCAATCTCCATTCATGGTGAACCTTTAAGCTAATTGCCTCCAGTACTTAAATTTCATCGTAAACATAACAAAAGACCATTTCTTTCCATGTGCTTGACATACCTGGCAATTTGAGATGTTTTTGCCCTGAGACATCCTGAAGATCTTGGAAATACTACCGATCAGTCTGCGTTACCACAGCCTCGTCGTTCATCTAGTTAACTTGGTGCCATCTGCGGCTTTTATACAGAATCCTAGCTTTTGAAATTATTTCTGTGACAGGAAACTGTTAGCATTCTGTTTACAGCCCGCCCGGTAACATTTTAAAGTTTTCCGTAAACAAGACACCAGCGTTTACCTATGAGCTCAGAGAGACAGTATGGTTGTGGCGCTACTCGTTGAATGTCTAATACTACGGACCATAAGTTTAGAAATAATTCCGGTTTCAGGGATAGTATTACTTAGAGGGATGCGTCTAGTATCTGTTTGACCTACACCCACGGCATCCAGTTTGTGTGGACACTATTAAGCACTTGAAGTACTTACGCAAGCGCCAAAACGTTTACCTACTTGAGATCTTTGAGCGGCAAGCCGACATATAACTAAAATTAATCATAGCGCCGCAAGTTCTCGATGATACAGATCAACTACTGCTAGTGGCTTCTTCCAAAACATCCACATGGATTCTGACTACGCTCCCAATTGTTTCACTTTTACTTTCTGCTTTCCTAAAGCACGCAAAATGCCCGCATCTCTAATGGCTTAATGGTAATGTCCATTTATAAGATAACAGCATAAACGCGGTCGATATCTCCCATTGAATGTAACACAGTTTCTAAGTAAAATAAAGGAAGGTCTTTGGGGAGTCATACCGACCGTGGTTTACAACAAGGGCCACCCTTGATACTCATCTACCATATAATTCATTGTTATTCACTTAGTTCACACTATCTCAAACTGTGCACCGCAGTTTCTGTTGCCATTTGCGATATCAAACTGCGATCAACTTGTGTTTATCTAAATCTATGGACCACATTTGCTTCAATTTTAACAGCCAATCGATACCTGTATCCGAGCACACGCTGAAATTACTTGCTTCGTTTGCTGAACGTGTTGGCGTCCGCTATTTCCTTGATCTACCCGTGCTATTCACTCTGCAGCTGATGCTCACCTGTAACGTAAGTCAACTGCACTCGGTAAGCAACCTCATGGAGCTTTACACTTCTGGAAGCAAGTGTCATTCTTGAATTTCGTGATTAAAGTCGTTCTAAAGTTTTTATCGGTATCCGGGCTGCATGCACCAAAATTCGGTTATTTTTCAGCGGGAAAATAATGAGTGGTAAACAGAGCAACCACGGGTTAACACTCACAGTAAGGTGAATGTCTCATATCGAAACACAAGTGCAGAAGCACATAAGTCGCCAACAACCAGGCCCCTTTTATACGTTATAAAATTTGCTTAATGTAAACACCTCAGTGATGCAAAAGAAATACCCACACTCATGGTAATTAACCCATCTTCTTCGGAGACTTGATCGACACTTCTAGGGGAAAAACAGTCGCTTCTCTGAACTCCCGTAAATCCCACTCATTTCCTGTATTTGGAGTTATCGTTGTTGTTGGTACTCCCTTCTTTTTAGCGCAGAACGTTAATAATATCCAGCTACTCTCTTTACTTGTTACTAGTATATTAACCTAGAGTAATTTTTGGAGTGGTAATAGCTCTTGCCATTAGGTTTTATCTATTAGGAAGAAAGCATATCTGTTCATCTGGTTGGCTGATTACTCAATCTATTTCTGTTGGGCCACTGCAAACTATGCCATACATGAACGTTCATATTTACCAAAATCTTTGACAGGTCTCTGTAATACGTGCATATGGGTTTGACGACTTCATAGGAGGTGGTTCCAAATGGGTGGACATCTACCAGAGGCAAAGTCTCACGTGATCGGACAAACTAGCTTCCCTTTTGTGACTTCCTCCTATTGAAATGATGAAAGAAGATTTATTAATAATTTGGTACATTTATTCTCCTCAGAATCTATTGAGCTGACCAAAATTAGATGTATTATAAAATGATTTGATATTAGTGATCACTTTATTCATTGCTGCTCTTTAATCAGTACAGTTTACAATGGATACCGCACTAAAAATATAGAGAAGCCTTTCGGATCCCTCTTATCACAAACAAGAAGCAACAAAGTCGTTTTTTGTTTACCGGTCTCATTTGCTGGTGGAAACTTCTGGCAGGGTGTTTGAATGTGACAGTATGCTGTTGGTGGTACCACTGTAACCTGTTGCCTGTTAGTTAACCATGATGAGGAGCTCAATTTCATTAATCGATTTCTACGTGAAAGGTAAGTTAGTTGCAGTGAAGTTGTCAGTTACTCAGTAACCATCGTCGCAACACCGAAGTGCTATCTTTACTAGGTGAAACAATTTAGACTAGGTTGGACATCATCATAGTTAATGGTCCGTCAGTGAAACTGTGGTGAGATGCGCACTGTTGATGATTCCCAATAGGGATGAAACAGCTGTACAGTGTTTCTCGGCTTTTCAGCATAGATTGGCTTCACTTACAGGACGAAATCTCCACAAAAATTAGGGACCTAATGTTTATTCTACGTTTTTGTGTGTAGCAATTATTGATTGACAAGATGACATAGTGCCTCCAATAACGGCTTCAGTACTTACTTCCTACTGAAATCTCCCATTATTCTATATCGCATAGTTCTTTCACCAGATTCTTACAACTATGTAATTGCTGAAAAGTTCTGTGTTAATATGTTAACGTTCATCTTTGCCATTGCAGAAGAATCCGGGCAACTTATATGTCGCTCAAATAGTCTGTTTAAAGAGAAAACGCAGCTTTTACAACTTACGTGGAGGATGTTTTTCGGCTGTTCTAAGTCAAAAATATTTGTGGCCCACGCCCTGTAATACTGGGACGAATACGCCGGTTTTGTGGGAGACGCAAACCGAAGAGACGATGCGTCGCTAGTACTACAAAATAATCATCCGTGCTAGCGTTAGTGACTTGCGATCATGTATGATCATGATTCTCATGTATGCCTATTCCAGGGGAACATGCTACGTTGAACGGCGTCAGCAGCTGTCTTTTTGCCTAGCCGTTGTGGGGCTATCGTGATATGAAGCCCACCTAGAACGCCAAAAATTTTATTTCCATACCGTGCTGAGTACATGTGAAACGATCACTTCGGTGTTACAAGGGAAGCATCTTCAAACCGATTCGTTTACTCAATGACTGACTCATCCATTTATTTAGTTACTGGATGATTGTCGAATGGACTGACTGACGGACTAACTGGGTGATTGACTGATTGCTGGATCGTTGTTAGGTCGTTTGGCTAAATAATTATAAGCCGACTATGGCAAGCATGGAGCAACGATTATAAATCCCACTTGGCTACCCACACTCATTTCGGATCTCCATTGCATCTATATTCGAAAGCAATTTATTTCGGTTAGATGGTGCTGGTCTGGCACTACAATTTGCAGCTGGCCTGATTACACGCCACAAGCTTCCAATCTATCAAGAACAAGGATTTTTTGAGGTTTATGGACGAATAAGTTGCAGGGGTTTTCGTCCTTACAGTGGTTTAAAATCTCCATTAGCGAATATACACTCATTTGCAAGCTAATTTGGTCTTTTCGAGAGACCCACCTGGGACCCAGCTGCATCTGTCTTTTGCGGCCTGGCGCAGCACATTCAGTTGCCTGAGAACATCCCAAACGAGAGATTCAGCTGGGTTCCAGGTGAGTCTCTCGAAAAAAAACAAATAAGTTTGCAAATGAGTGTATATTTGCTAATTTCGTGCAATTTGGTTTCAAGTAGAACATAAGGTTGACGGAAACCCGGGGACTGTGCCTACCTGATAAAACCCAAAAAGGGCGAAACCGGTCGTGGGCTGTCGATGGATTTTTCAGCAAACTTATGAGTAGTACATTACAAAAATATGAAATCTCCATTGTTTTATTGGGGTTTGTGTGCAAGATATGTATTCAGCCCGTAAGAATTGGGAACACTTAGGACAATTTATGCACATGTGGCAGCTGATATTTAAAAACCAGTGATGTGGCCATTTCCCTTTTTGATTTGCACAGGTACTCGAGACCATTACACTAGCGAAGATTGACCTTCCGCCAGGCGTTAAAAGCCAGATTTTCCTTAACAGTAAGTTTGTTCTTGCCTTCATTGTGGGCAATAAGTCACATGCCATCAGTAATCGCGCTAGATCATCGTACAATAATGTTCTTCCAAATGGACCCAGAGGAAAGCAATCACGAGTAATTATTTCGGCTATTCGACTTTAGACCACGTAACCAAAGTCCGAGTAGTTTCAATTTTGTCAAGCGAAGATATAGGGACTAAGTGAAGGAAATTCACATACCCGACAAGATAACCTGAACAGCTTGATGTAGAGTTCTTGATTGTTGACCGGTGGCAAGTTAAGGGCTTTGAAAGGAAGAGAATCTTTTTATACAAGAGCTGAGTTGCTAAGTCAGCAACTGCTAGCACGTTGTGGTTTGGAGCCGGCAATTACTAACACTCGCATACTGATTATGTCCCGACACTCCGAAGCGCTTCCAGTGAGTAAGTTCGTTCGTAGGAATCTCAGTAACTCGTTTCCTGCCTACTGAATGGCCGCGCTTTGGCCTTTTCCAGTCAGCATAAGGCAGGACAAAAAGGATTTCGTGGCAGGGTAAACAAGCAAGAGTTGGTGACATTAATCTCGGTTCATAGTCGACTCGTACTATTTGAAATTTCAAAGAACTCGCAGTTTTTTGAAACCATTTTTTGTTTACTAGCCACTTGATCCATCCGAGCGGTTGCACTTCCACATCTTTTACTTTTATTGAGCCCGGGTGACCTGGTGATTAACACCGCCGACCTCCGTTTTTATGGCCCTGGTTGGAGTCTCTTCATGAAAGCCATCAAATTAGCTACCGACCTTTGTGTAGAAAATAGTGTATAAAGATAGTTTTGTACGTACTTGTGTACATATTTGTGTATAAGAACACTTTTGGTTCAGGTTAGGTAATGTCCAAGCCAGTTAACTCAGTTTTTCTGAAGCAATAAAAGCTTGCATTTTGTTTACCTCTAAAATACAATGGAGCATCATTACGTTGAAGTAACAGATTGGAATGTTCTAAGTAATTCTGTCAAGTGGAAGTTCATGCGTAGCCTAATAAAAGGCTGTGTGTTCGTGTTTTTTTTCACCACAGGCTGGAATATCTTGGTTTCTGCTCTTATTGACCGCATGACGCCCGCACACACGAGATTTCTTCTTCGATGTCCAGGCTTTGCCGAAAGACTTCAGAATGCTGACCCGATGTGGATAAAATTGGCCCAAAAGATGGTAAGCTATGCCCATATACCCAAGCACAACGTTAGTTACCTGTTGTGCTCGGTATGTTTCACCTGGTACGCACGATCACATTTCAAGTCAACCGATTCAGTTAAAAAGTTCACCTTTAAGCAACGCCAGCTTCTGCTTATTCTGAAAACAGACTTTCTTGTGCTTCCCGCTTTTGTACTTTCCATAAGTGATTTAGGGTCAAATATCTCCAAGGTAATTCGCAAGGAAACTGAGATAACACTAACTCTCACAATCAGTCACATCTGCGTAGGCTAGTACAAGCAGATTTTCCTGTTTTTTGCAACTCACTGTGGAATTTTGGTTGAAATCCCTCATCCACCAAAAATTATATTCACATTTTATTTTAAGAAGGGACTATTGAAAGCATATAAGTCACAGCTAATAGTACCGATCACAGACCCAAGTGAACTACACTTTCACAAATAAGGCTGTCTACACATATTAAATTAACTGCATGTCATGCTTAGATTCACTGGAGTTTTCTGCAGAAATTGATGATGTTGAGCCGTTTTTACAGAAATGCTGGCTTGCACTTAATCTTCACTAGTGAATTTGAATATAAAGACCAACTCCATTATCTCCCCATAGGTCATTTTGCTACTATAAAATTGTACTAAACAATCACATAACTTTTTATACTTTCTTTCTGTGTCTTTGACGTTGAGATACAGTAGATAGGAGAGTCTTCGTTTACGTAAGAAGTGCCACACAGATCCCAGACCAAACTGCCAAAGTACAAATGAAAGGATGGAGAACTAGACCTAATGGAAGGTAACTGAGGGGCTAGTGGATTGATAGTGATCCATGTTTCAAAGGTGAATTATTCAGTGAGGACTAAGGAATAATGAAGATGAGCAAACCCGTCTGAACAGTCTGCGTGTTGACTATCGTTCCTAGTGATTCATATTCTGTCATATAAATCTTAAAAAAAGGAATACGACGATCCTTGTGATGGATGATAATACTAGCGCAGTAGATAATCGAAACGGATTCGTCGAGGAGTTTTTAAAAGCGCATTCAAAGTTACTGGGTGGTGAGATTCGAATAGGCAATTATCATAATTAAAATAAGGTGTCGGATGTTCGATAATTTCACATGGAGATAAAGAGTATTTTCAAACAGATAGCGCTTATTCCAGATTGAATGTTACTAGCGTAAGGAAATTTAGAAATTGCTATTTGAGATTTCTCCCTCCAAATGAAGGCAAAACAATTAAGCTGAGCTCCTAACTAGGAGGTCGGAAGGCCTAAAAAACTATTCTTCGATTCCAACAGAGATCAAGGGAACCAGTGGTTTCATCAGATCGTTGCGATTGGTAATGCTGAACTGCGATGTGTCAGGCGTTGAGTAAAAAATATTGTGGACGCTACTGTGACTATTCGAGTTTTTCAAGATGCAATATGCCACTAATAGATCTTTTAAGTGAAGAAGAAGGATCTTACACATATGTCTTTGATAACGTGCGATGAATGCTAACATTACTGTTATGGCTTTCATTAGTAAGCGAGTTCAAGTATCTTTTGCAGAGGCCGCAGTGTGTAGTCCTGAGAAAACCTGCCTTTATGGAATCCCGATAGCTTCAAATCACCCCAAACCCACTTCGGTCACGATTAGTGTGCTGAGTTTATGAATTCTCACGACTCTGCTAACCACTGCGTTTTGAAGTGGAGGTAGGCCTGAGTGTACTAGATCTAGCTATCTGTCAGAAAAGTGATCTTATTTCCGTAAGGTTTGCTGGTACAAAATAGCAACTTTTTACTCTAATGGTTTGGCATTACCCGTACACTGAACGAATAGAGCCTTAGCTACCGACGAAATGACATCTATTGACAATAAGGATTTTTGAGTACGGTGCATGACAACAGATACTACATTTATCAAGTAATCCGATACCATGTTGTATTTTTCAGTAGGGGCTTAAAGGCAAACTTTGATTCATCCGTCGTGAGGAGTCTGGGACAAGGTACTCCACCAATTCATCTGTCATGTTTAAAATAGGATTAAGACACAGAAGGCTGCCTCACAGGAATTAGTAATTATGACTGGCTTCATTAGGGAGGAGGAAGATTTAATGGTAGAGTAAATATGGGCCCAGGAATAGATGCGTCACAGTCAGCTTTCAACATTTTGCATTACGTGTCTGTCAGTATATAGTTTATTGACCACGTGGATCTTCAAACTCCACAGTTGACTGTAAATCAGCGCTTCACACAGAGATTACCGAATTTATACCCGAGATCGAAGTATCCTCTTTTTGTTTGCGACAAGCAAACTCTGGTTTGAGGTGGCTTTTTATGAGTAAACACAAAGGCGTGAAATACTCATGCCAGTCGCGCGCTTGAATTCTCATCAGTGAGCGTGCCATAACTACCAATAGTTAGCTCTCTCGATTTTTAAACCCTAAGCATACACATCCAAAGCACAATATATCAACCTTAAATAATAATGGAAAGCTGTAGCTATGCACTTAAATGATTCTTTTTTAGTCGTAGCCTTTGATAATCACGGTGAAACAAAAATTGTTGACAATCTGTTCTGGATGTTCATAGTCCCCACAGCCCAATTCAACAAGAGTGGGGAAAGCGGCTAATTAGATTGTTGTTCCTATAACTTTCGCTTCACGTTTGGGTGCATGAGCCTTAATACGTGCTCAAGGACCAGCAAATTTTTGCCTTATTTCCTGAAGCAAATAGCCAGAATGTGGCATTAAATATGGTGTGTCATGTAGCCTTGTTACAAAAGGTATGCAGGGGATGGTTCTCCGCAGTGCTGTTTCGGTCACGCGCACGTTGATATATTGCTTTCCGGACAGTAAGTCGTTGATAACTCGGCTCTAGCCGTAACGTCAAAATAGATGGACACTTTTTTCACAAGGGAAGTTACTCACAAGGTTGCTGAAAACTCTTCGACAACAGGTCTTGCTCACCAGGTCGGCGTATTCCCCTAATTTCCGTCAAACTTGTTTTTTACCTGAACCCAAATTACCTTTATGCATTTAGTTGAAGAATATCATAAGCGGAAGATTTAGGCGAACATTGTTTACCTCGTTCTGATCTGGTTCAATAGTTAGTTGTAAGCATCCCCCTTGCGTACTCCTGGGCAACTTGACATTGGATGATGCTAAACCAATTTTAGAAGGCATGCTGACGGTGCAATATGTTGTGAGTTGGTCAGACAGTCTGTACGCTTATCTGTCATCACAGTGTTTAGCAAAGTGGTCCTCAATCCTCATGAAAGGCCTTGTAAGCTAACTGGATGGTGTATTCAGCCAAAAAATCCTTCTGTGAATTTTGGTTCGTCACAGTAGGTTTACACCACCTGTTTTATGTTCTGTCAGTCTCAGTAAAGTAGGTTCTCTCATGTAGAAAAACATTTGTGGTTAAATGTGCTATTATCTTGGCAGTAATAATTTATAGTATGAACTAATATCCGGCATTAGAACACAGCAAAAACGTTCCGAAATAATGCTGTGATCATCTAAGAATATTCAGGCATATGTATTCGGAAAACGCTAGTGCACTGAACTGAAAACAACTGCATTTTTGGGAAGACCTGTCTATCGCTAAGTATCATTTTGGGATAGTATTGTACATCTTTGAGCCGCCAAGAAAGTCTTCGTGATTATCTCATACCTATATGTGATACCGGATTGTAGATTCGGGGCTCCTTCAGAGGGTCCCAGTGTCTATCAGTCAACTGAAGGTCGGTACCACGAGCGCTTGAAACGGTATAATGTAATGTAGGAAGTGAAATCTCTTATGCAAAGAAAAGTTGCTGATTAGAATGTTTGAAGATGCATTCAACCATAACCGTACTCACGGAAAATCTCCAAAATACCTACTTAGTTCACAGGCACAACTGCATTAGTGGCAAACTTATGAGCGATTATGCACCTCCCAGTTGTACTGCGTATATCGTGCTCCCTAGACGTTCCTTGCCACTTCTGCTCTGATGTGTTGGTTCAAAAATTAATGTGCTCCGCAGAACACTTTTACTATTGGTTTCCTATCATTAGATCCTACAGTGTCATATGGACGATGGTCTTTACGCGAAGAAAACTGCCTCTCTCCTTTACAAAAGTTATCGTTGTCTATCGAACATTTGGGTAAGTTCTGTTCCTAAGATCCAAATTTCCCGCGTTTCAACGAGGTGCCATTGATCCAGAACTAGACCATGACCGATTACATGAAATCCCGAGCCTCCTTGACAATGAGCATCTCGAGGATTAATATTGTCCTGAATTTTTGTCGGTATGGCTGTTTTGTACATGTGAGCACACGTCTTTTGATAGATTGCAGACGATCGTGTAACGGAAAATGCCAACTGGTACTAATTTGTTATTCTGAGATTTGACGGTTTTCTCGTTTGCTAGGCTGAACTTTATCTCATCATCTTTTGAATCTATTATGCTCCAGTAGGTTCGGAAATGTCCCACAATTTCGTGAATTGACGTTCACGCACATACTGATTATATGGTGCTTATTTTCGGGTCCTTCAATACTTACTCTTACACATTAATTAAATGCTTGCCTGACGTCCCCTCAGTGCACATAAAAATCGAGAATCTAATCATGAACTTTATTAACCAGTTGATTTCGCTTGTTGACTGTGAGATGCATATTGAGGTTCTCTTTTGGGAATGTATTGGACTGAACTATCTCTACAAGAAGAAAATCTTTTGTGGAGCTGGTTTTTCTTACTTGTGGTTCTCTTATAGGGATGTTTTGATCCTTTCTGAAGTGCTTTACTAGAACTCCATTTTATCCCATTTTATATACTTTTCCCAACTCTTCCATGCGAAAAGCGGTCGTATATAGGGTAGCATATGTATAGCGTCGGCAGCTCTCGTTGAATCGCTTAGCCCATCACACCCATGCATGCTCATCGTTAGAATGTTACCGTAAAACTCTGGTTTTAGCATGGTCCGAGCGTTCTATCTCACTAGAAAATTCCGTCTTCTGTGTTATAGTTTAACCAACAACACAGACATCGAATTTATCCCAAAGTTGCCACGGTTTTCACCCTCCGGATAGACAGTTTGAAAGGATCAAACGAGTTATCGTGCTTGGGAGGCAAACTTTTGGAGATAATTGTGGACTGCAAGGACCAGATAGAAATAGCCTTTTCTAAAGTTCGGTTTTCAACAATACTAGCCTTTGAAAAAAAGACAGTACACGATCAAGTTGACAAGTCTAAGATTTTGCGAACTGCATTATGACTCCTCCAGTACATATACCCACGAACAACCCTACATAACTTCAGGATATTTCAGACTAATGACTTTAGTGCAAATCTGTGTTGTGTCAACCTGATGGCGATATGGAAGTAATGGTTGCTTGTTACATTAACCGTTCTATTAATTTCAATACATCTCGATTCTTTGAAAAGAAGTTTAATCAAGCTCTTTCCTTTCATACAATTCAGACGGTTTGGTTAACCGTGTTTATGAAAGGGGATGACGTGAAACTAGTTGAACGCCTAACTACTACATTTTCAAACATGTTGCGGGTATTGGAAGTAAGTTCGCACCTAAAAATGTAAGTTTTGCATTTCTACTCCATGCACTTAGCATCATCAAGTACACTTTACAAAAGTGAATATTTTCACGAAATTGGAAATCATTCTCTCCAATGGTGCATTTGCCACTTGGTGACCAACATTGTACTCTAGGATAAACCAGAAAAAACAATTAGTGGCTAACAAGCATGTTATAGGCGTCAGTTCGTGGAGTGAATACGGTCTTTATCTAAAGCGCATAACTCTCTAGTACCTACCATTTCCTGTATGGGATAGCTTCCTTAGACTGATACGGCGTTAAGAACTATACGCACAATAAGTTATTCTTTGGCCTTCAACTCTTGCGTAACACAGAAGGAACCTGAGCTTAACTTACAGTGGATCGTCCCTACGTCTCCCGTATTTTCTTTGGATTATTCTTATTAATATTTTAGCGCCGTGGAGAACAAGAGCAAACTCCGGATGGGAGAGAAGTGCGCACTGAATTCGCAGCCTATGCTCTTGATAGCCTGCAGGAGTGTTTGACGAACTTACCCTGCTCCTTGCCAGAATTCCTTGAAACAAAAGGTATTTTCCCAAACTGTTGGTTTTTCAGTCTTCTAGCATCAACTTTGATGAATCACATTTTATTGGTATCTAACAGTGATTTCGCAGATAATATGTATGTAATTTTCTAGCCACCGCTCAGCGACTATTAATCCGCTTATTTTGCCGGTATACTGAGATGGGTGCTTGGGGATATTAAGAATCCTTTGCGCACTGAGCCGATAATCCTGACTTGGACTGTACACATCCGGGAATGACCTAGTCTCATAAAAACACCTTTCTAATGTTTTCGTTCCTCGTGGAAACTTTTAATTTGAATAAACCATCAGCATAGTAACACAGAGACAGTCCTGCCCACGGAACAGCAGTTCCTTTACCAGTTCATTTTCGCTTGGGAGGCTCATCCTTACTATCAGAAAGTTCTTGTTGGTAGCCTCGTGATGGACTATTATTTAAGGCGTCGTATTTCTGAACTTCATATATTCTTTGAACTTCTATCCACTAGCAAGGAGAAAGACAAAGACCGGTTTTTGACGGACTATCAACAGGCCGTATCAAGCTGCATCTGAAACACTTCTTGGGACAAAACTTACGCAGGCTGTAAGGAAGTCAGTTCTCATTTCAAATATTTGTCAGTAACGGGTCTTCAGTTCAGTATAATGTAGGTGGAACAAAGCTGGCAGCAAAACGTGCGAATGGGTCCGATCAGTTGGCTTGTTCAGATTTTGGGGATTCAGACACAGGTTGAAAATCACTCAGGAAAAAATCTATGTCTTTGCATAGTGAATCACGGTAAGCAATGGACGGTGAATGCAAATCTTACATTAGACCACTGTTTCGTGCAGGCTTCCCGATACTATTTTCTCTGTCAGTTCAGTGACTGCGTGTTTTAAATTGTGCTAATTGTAATCATGGTTTACTACAATGTAACCAAACATTTGATCTGGGGTACAATATAAGATATACTCTTGTGAATACTGCCATGCCTGAAGCTTTCAGCCAACGAAATTACTGACTGGCTTGTTGGTTGGGTATTACGTCATTGATGAACAGTTTAAAATTTGACGAGAATCTCTTTGTCGTCAAACGACACTTTTTGTTCGGCATCTTGTGCATTCCAGACGTCTTACAAGAAGCTTATTTCACTGTTCAAGAAGGAATCGCTGGCCTGATCTCCGAGCTCTTTGACGACCTGCCAAGTTTGTTGAAGTGGATACAGCAAAGTTGGTGATATATTTCTTCAAAACATCTCCTCACATAGTGATGGATTTTCTGACGAACGCTGCATATGCCCCACCTAGTCGAATTTTATGCCGTCTGCTTAAATTGATTTTATGCTGCTGTGCTGGGTTCAATCATACACTGCACATACAAAGTAAGTAATAAATATTATATCAATTATTGTGTTTTTTCTGTAGTAATGTTTGGTTCCCTTCAAGCTTCACTGGTTTCTCTAGTTTACAACTTTTTTATCGTAAAAAACAAGTCGGTTGGTAACCCATACTATCATTTCATATCAGTATATCATTTCACGTATCGCCACTGAGTTTAACATTATTGTGGCATCAAAGCAGGCTAAAGACTGACAGTGCTCAATTTTAGAGTTGATGCACGAAACTGCATCAAACATAGGAGAGAGCTGAAAAGGGAAACATTAAATCCAATAGATGTTTGACATTACTTCTATCCATGGTATGAAGTGCTTCCAAACTCACTGTTTTCTTTATTTCAGTCATCAAGATGTTGTGCACCTCCCTTAACTCGGAACGAACGGGTTATTTCTTCTCTGATTCAGAGGCAACATCGAATGAGTCACCAATTCTGAGTCACTGTAAACGTTACAGAATTGGAGCTGAAGAGCTGAGCATCATAATGTCTATCGGAGCAATTGTAGTTGGGTCACTGGAGCTCCTTCCGCCGAACAGTTTCAATGACATGTTGCAAACAGTAAGTTGCGTAAAATGGATTCGTTTTACTTTTTCAAATATAATGCACTCTGGATAGTTGCAACGTGACAGTTTTTTCCAATTCCAATATGTATTGCTTGTTTCATGACTTTTTAGTTGATTTCCCAGGACGAGACACATTCTTCCTCAAGTGGTGATTCACCTTTGCACTTTCAAATGGGTAAATTGTGATTCGGCATTTATGGACTTACACGACCTTCATAGTGGTCCCGATAGTTTGTATAGATCAACGGCCAGGAAAGTCCGATTATATTAAATGTCTATGGAAAGAATGTACCTGTAGAAAGGATTTAGTTCAGTCCAGTTCGATCAGAGGTACGCAAATCGACCAAGCGCTTTTTGGTTTGTATTTTGTCCAGTACGGTAAAATACGCTTTCGTGCAGTGCAGTAAAGAATTTTGTTTCCCAATAAATATTGTTCTTGGTGTTCTCCGCTGTCCGGGGCCAAATACAAATTGGTCCACATTAGTTGGACACTATCAGCAATTTTATAATGCACATGAGCTCAAAAACAAAAATTCAACCAACCTGCTGGTTAAATCAGGCACTTTTTACCACCTATTCTGAAGACTATGTTTATCTGATGATTCCCAAGGAAGATTAAACCTATAGTTGGTTATCTGGAGATTTCGAGCAACTGTGTCACAATGCAAGCCAAATAATAGAATACAAATCAAACTCACTCTTGACGTGTGTTGTAGGTATCTTGTAAGTAGTGGGCAGTAGTCGAAATGAATCACTGGCTACCCACGTTTAAATTGATTATTTTTGGATTTTGGGACTGTGAAAGTCTTAGTAATTAATACATAAGAATTGGATTCAGACATGTTGCTTTAACCTTTATGTCCAAAGTAGAAATGTTTTCGGAAGTAAATGAGAGCATGAGTGGTCATTTTTTCCTCGGGTCTGCGATAGAATCTACCGTCCGGTAAATCCTGCGGGAATAATGCAACCACCATTTTCACGAAGATCGTCATACCAAAAGTTGACTTATCACTTTTGAATGAAATCAACTGGTTTTTGTAGCATGCGAAGTGCATAAGGGCTGTTTTACAGAGTATGGATAATTCACCGGCAGCTTTTAGAAGTTTGGTTTGAACCTAGTCAAGTGGAAAGATTTTAGAGATTTTCAAGAACTTTGTTGGCGATTTCTGAAGACATATCGTGTTTGAACTTGACATTATTCTAGCCAGCCTAAGCACTGCACAGGAACCAAAGAGAAGCCTATGCAAATAATGGGTAAGAATCAAGAATGTTCGTCAGTTTCTATAAACAGCCAGGGCCTAGTGGCTTGTCTACTACTATGACCCATGAGTTTTTGTATTTCATCTTATGCAGTTCGCAAAATCTCTTCACCAAATACATGTGTAGTGAGTGCAAACGTGTCAATAGACCTTAGCATAACCCTGCACCGTCCATAATTAGATCCTTTTTTAGAAAGATCGGCAACAGCGACGTTTTCACTCTTCAAACGATGTTTCTAATACACTTGGTAGTAACAAAGTGGTGCTCCCTTCGGGTGGCGTAGCAGCTAGACACCAGGAACTTGTTAAAGCTGTTAAGGCTTAATAAAGCTATAGTTCTGTTGTAAGCCATCCACTGTTTCTACTAGAGTGAATGCTAGTATTCAACGTACCAGCGGTATACAGCTGCCACCAATCCGATTCAAACAGAACTGTCTTCGCATTTTTCCTCCGATCAGAGAGAACTCAACTCCGCAGTGTGCCAGTACCATTTATCCTGATTATTTCAGTCGTTTCACGCACGACTAAGATCACTCCATCAGTTTAACCAGGCAGTCATCTAGCCATTTTGGAATTTGTTCTCGCCTATCTGTCCGCTTACTTGAACTCCGCGTGTACTTTTGAGGGCACCGTCCACCAGTATATTGACGCTGGATTTTAACTGTTAGTCTATGCTTAAACTTCAGTCACACGTTTCCATGGGATGTGAACACATATGGTCGCCCACCTAACTGATTTCCTGAGTAACTGCATTCTCCGACAACTTGAACTTTCTACTTCGCAATGAAGTATGCCAAAATCCGTTATGGATAGCCTTAAATCAATTGTTCTAACGTACGTCATTGTTTGCCTAATTATCGAGCTGCGTGCAGTTCGCAAAATCTCTTCACCAAATACATGTGTAGTGAGTGCAAACGTGTCAATAGACCTTAGCATAAACCTGCACCGTCCATAATTAGATCCTTTTTTAGAAAGATCGGCAACAGCGACGTTTTCACTCTTCAAACGATGTTTCTAATACACTTAGTAGTAATAAAGTGGTGCTTCCTTCGGGTGGCGTAGCAGCTAAACATCAGGAGCTTGTTAAAGCTGTTAAGCCTTAATAAAGCTATAGCTCTATTGTAAGCCATGCACTGTTTCTACTAGAGTGAATGCTAGTATTCAACGTACCAGCGGTATACAGCTGCCACCAATCCGATTCAGACAGAACTGTCTTCGCATTTTTTCTCCGATCAGAGAGAACTCAACTCCGCAGTGTGCCACTTCCATTTCGTATCCGTAAAGTTCATTTATCCTGATTATTTTAGTCGTTTCATACACGACTAAGATCACTCCATCAGTTTAACCAGGCAGTCATCTAGCCATTTTGGAATTTGTTCTCGCCTATCTGTCCGCTTACTTGAACTCCGCGTGTACTTTTGAGGGCACCGTCCACCAGTATATTGACGCTGGATTTTAACTGTTGGTCTATGCTTAAACTTCAGTCACACGTCTCCATGGGATTTGAACACATATGGTCGCCCACCTAACTGATTTCCTGAGTAACTGCATTCTGTGACAACTTGAACTTTCTACTTCGCAATGAAGTATGCCAAAATCCGTTATGGATAGCCTTAAATCAATTGTTCTAACGTACGTCATTGTTTGCCTAATTATCGAGCTGCGTAATTACCCCAGTCGAGGCCGTATTACGCCCCAACCGAAGGACAAAGGTGAGTTACTCAGTTGCTTCACTCAGCGTCAGGCCGTTTCATCGATCTCCTGAAGAGTGTCGCGACTTACAGCTGCCCGGGTTGGTTTAACTGTCAAAGCGAATCGATGGAGGCCGAGTGCACACCTACGAACTCTTCAGGATTTCGTGCTTCTGGGTTTTTGCTCGGGGCATTTGTTCATCAATTCATGCATAGCCATCGTGGAATATTTGAATAAAAACTGTCTCCAGACACTTTACCTCACGAAGATGAAGACCGATAAAATCACACCGTATAAAATCAAAGTTGGTTGGTGGAGTTTATTTACTTCAGGAACTTTCACTAACTGACCTAAAAGATCTATCTTTGCGAAATTAAGGAAGTACCATATTTTAGCATTCACTTTCCATGCTGCAACTGCGTAAAGTAAAGCACTATCCAAGTCACGCCATCAATGCAGATTTATCAAGTTCATTTCTTCTTTTACGACCGCTTTGATGACCGTTTTCATCCTGGCTTCTAGTGGAAGCAGAGGAACTCGTGAATATCAAAAAGCTAACAATTCCAGTAAAGTGAGGACAGGCCATTAAACGATAACAAAAGCCACTGTTACTTTCATCTTCGTGACAACTTGAACTTTGTACTTCGCAATGAAGCATGCCAAAATCCACTATGGATAGTCTTGAATCAATTGTTCTAACGTAGGTCATTGTTTGCCTAATTATCGAGCTGCGTAATTACCCCAGTCGAGGCCGTATTACGCCCCAACCGAAGGACAAAGGTGAGTTACTCAGTTGCTTCACCCAGCGTCAGGCCGTTTCATCGATCTCCTGGCAGAAGAGGTAACGCTGCTCAAGTTGCACCAGTGCAAAGAGAGCTTTGTGCAACTAGGTTTCAATTCTCCTCTCCAAAATAAAAAGGTTTGCTTTGGTGTGGAGAGAAGCTAGCTACATGATCCAGCCAAACACCTTGTTGCATGGTGGCATGGTTACAAGCTGTAGATCAGCTTCAATCGGTTTGTTGATCAATGATTGTAGCATTGTTTGGTACCTCCACTTCACTCTTTTATTTCTGCAGAAAAATTGCTTACTTGAGAGGTGAATTTTAGGCATCTGATGTTGATATTTTCGGTGATTTACGAGATGGGAACGGGCCGATGTGAATAGGACTGGGCGCACAGAAAGCGCAAAAAATTCAAGGGGCGCTTCAATCCCGGTTCATGTAGTATGTTAGTCTCTTTAAGAAATATCCTTCATTTTGCTTGCGGATTACCATCAACTATCAACGAAAGATGGTTACAGATAGCCGGGGATGCCTGGACAGTTGTATAAGTTCCGGTGGACTGGCTGGAAATAAGATTATTTCTAGAATCGGAAAGGCCAGGGAGGATTTCGCTAACCTCCGACACTTATGGCGCCGAAGTGACGTGAGCTTGTCTGTCAAGAAAAGCGTTTACACTGCGGTGGTGCAATCCATACCGCTTTATTGATTGATTGATTGATTGATTGATTGATTGATTGATTGATTGATTGATTGATTGATTGATTGATTGATTGATTGATTGATTGATTGATTGATTGATTGATTGATTGATTGATTGATTGATTGATTGATTGATTGATTGATTGATTGATTGATTGATTGATTGATTGATTGATTGATTGATTGATTGATTGATTGATTGATTGATTGATTGATTGATTGATTGATTGATTGATTGATTGATTGATTGATTGATTGATTGATTGATTGATTGATTGATTGATTGATTGATTGATTGATTGATTGATTGATTGATTGATTGATTGATTGATTGATTGATTGATTGATTGATTGATTGATTGATTGATTGATTGATTGATTGATTGATTGATTGATTGATTGATTGATTGATTGATTGATTGATTGATTGATTGATTGATTGATTGATTGATTGATTGATTGATTGATTGATTGATTGATTGATTGATTGATTGATTGATTGATTGATTGATTGATTGATTGATTGATTGATTGATTGATTGATTGATTGATTGATTGATTGATTGATTGATTGATTGATTGATTGATTGATTGATTGATTGATTGATTGATTGATTGATTGATTGATTGATTGATTGATTGATTGATTGATTGATTGATTGATTGATTGATTGATTGATTGATTGATTGATTGATTGATTGATTGATTGATTGATTGATTGATTGATTGATTGATTGATTGATTGATTGATTGATTGATTGATTGATTGATTGATTGATTGATTGATTGATTGATTGATTGATTGATTGATTGATTGATTGATTGATTGATTGATTGATTGATTGATTGATTGATTGATTGATTGATTGATTGATTGATTGATTGATTGATTGATTGATTGATTGATTGATTGATTGATTGATTGATTGATTGATTGATTGATTGATTGATTGATTGATTGATTGATTGATTGATTGATTGATTGATTGATTGATTGATTGATTGATTGATTGATTGACTGATTCGAGACCTGGCCCCTACGTGCAGAGGACATGCGGAAGATGTCAGTGTTTGATCATCGGTGTCTCCGCAGCATTGGTCAGGTCTGGTGGGAACATCGGATTAGTAATGCTGAGCTACGACAAATGGTCTTAGAAAGGAGACCCTCCCGCGATAGATGAACTACTCACGCTTCATAAGTTGCGCTGGTTGGGACAAGTACTCCTCATGCTAGAAGACCGGTGTCCTCATAGAGTTCTTTTCTTCCACCTCTGCTGAGTGGAAGCAACCGAGAGGTGGACAGTGTATGACCTGGCAATGAAGTACGAAAACACCAACCAGTAAACTTGGTTGAGTGGGCAAATCTTGCATCCATGGATGGGAATCCCGGGACTCAAATCACCAGTGGTTAATGACATTGGCTGAAATTGCCCGATCGCGCAGTCAGTTGCCCTCATGCATCANTGGCAATGAAGTACGAAAACACCAACCAGTAAACTTGGTTGAGTGGGCAAATCTTGCATCCATGGATGGGAATCCCGGGACTCAAATCACCAGTGGTTAATGACATTGGCTGAAATTGCCCGATCGCGCAGTCAGTTGCCCTCATGCATCAAAGCTGTCGATTCAATACGTAGCTACCTACTTTCCGAACAAACTGAACATGCCTTCACCTCCAAGCCTTGGTTTTTTATTTCAATTTTCCGTTTTCCGGTGATCGAAACTGTAGCAGCTGGAACCAATGTGCCTATGGCACACGGTTTATAGCTGATAAATTGATTGAATTGATTGAACTGATGTATTACTTTGGTCCTTCAGCCTAGTTTCTGTGTGTAGATCGGTAGGTAAATATAGCTATCGCAACAGCATTCATTTGATTTTTTTGTCCCAAGGTTTATTATCCACGTATGCTAAACCATAAATTTTAAAGCGATCAGAATTTCAACCCGACTATTAAGATACCGATCGCAAGGGCTGACGGACGAGCGGTTGAATGCACTTCGTGACTAGTGTAGGCGCAGTTGTTTGGTCGGATTATGTGTTGGAAATAAATCTAGAAACTGCTATCCTTTTTCACCGAATCTATTTTATATATTGTGTAGTTTACCTGCTCAACGTGGAGCTGAAGGGAATACCAAAAAATTGCTGACCCGATGTTGACGTGCCACCTCTCCATGTCAACAGTGCACAGGCTGACTTCCAGCATCATCAAGTCTTATATCGGGATACAACAAAAATATCAAGATGTTTTAACGTGAAAGGGGTATAGAACCCACTTGGGCTAAGTAGATAACTTTGGGACCAACTTAACTGCGGAGATCTTGGCTCCTGTTCACGAGGTTTGCAAATCCGACCAATATGGTTTGTCCGGTAGGTGACTACTTATGCAGACATTTCTGCACCTTTCAGAAGTACTCCCTTAGCCGCTACTTAAAAAGCCAAGACAATATAATTGACTCTACCCGTAAATTTAATCGCTGTTTTGGATTATTGTTCTTTTAACTATCGGATATTCTGATGCATTCGCTTGCTTTCTGTTACCTTTTTATAAACAGTCTGTGCTATTTTCTTGATTTTCTTGCTAACCTAAGGTTTACTAGGCTTAGATTAACTCCTTTTTCCACAAACAATGGCCTCCTACAAATCCAGAACTCATTTACATGTTTTAGTACTTTTGAAGATTTTTGCGAGTCTTACTGCATGGCATTTGGAACTACACCGGTCGGAATACTGGCAGCTCGGATGCTTTCATTGGTAGTTGATCAGGCAGCTGTTAATCTGTCCACCAATTTTTCGAATTTTTCCATAGTTTCAGGTAATGACACCATTGATCGGAGAGGATTAGTTCCCTTATATATCTTTGTAAGTCTGTGGAAGCGGCGGGTGTCGGATCCATGAATTCTCACTCTCCAATGGATTCATGATCTTTTGTAGATCTTGGAGTTTCTTCAAGGTCATTTATATTTTATTCGCTAGTTGCTTGCTTTGCTCATTTTCAAAACATTGATGCATATTTGTGTTGCTCAGTAGTTTTCGCGGTTTATTGACACGGTCAGGCTTTTCAATAATCACTGTTAGGCTTCCTATGTCAGCTCGATGGAAACATCGTCATCCCACTTTTCTTCAACTTGTTTATTGCTTTTTCCCCTTGCCTTAGAAGACGTTGAATGTTTTGTTGCGCAGGTTGGTCTAAATGACGTGGTTGTTGTTGGACGTTCTCGTCCAACCAGATACATTTCATCCTCACTTCCAGGTTGGCTAAATACTTTAAAACCGAAATTAGGTGTTTTGATGAACATACGTTAATCTGTTGCTGTGATTCGCCTGCTGGGTTTTGGTCAAACTGGAAAGTCTACATCCCATATGGATCCACTTTCCTCTGGCAGCGCAAATAACTCTTCGTCATGTTGACATGCTGAATTTCCCCGGAAAGTTCGGTCCTATTATCCTGAAGCAGGCTCCTTTATGTTCACCGGCTACTCTCTCGCATTTCCTGTAGCGATTTTGCGCATCCATAATAATGGATATGGCCATTGATCCACCATTCTGCATAGCTAGTTTCCAAGCCTGTAGGTCGATAGAATTCAAATTTTCGCAGGCATCCATGAAAGAAGTGGAGCTACCATCGTGTGGGGTATGTTGCCGGGCCAAACGAACAACGGCGGGAGGCACAAACCGGATATCTAGCCTCAGGATTTACCGCAGAAATTGAAATGTAAAGGCTCACAGAAATTTTTTAGTTCGATATAAATCCTAAAATATGGATTCACCATGTGGAAGGCCTTTTATCATCAGTAATGAGAATGAACTGCATCGAGTAAGTCAACTATTCAGCACCAATTTTCGATGACGTACAATTCGCAGTGAGGGGAAAGAACAACAAAAAACTAACATTTATGAATGTTCTTGTTGCTAGATTGCAAAATGAGAATTTTATTTGCCGACAAAGCTAAATACGGCCAGCGCAACATCGCGATTCTATACACTAAGAAGCTCGCTGGAGTGAATGCGACCATTTTATGACTACATACAGTCTACAACAACGTGACTACCTTGTGGATGCTTCCACCGAATGCGAAAGAAAAATAGGTTCCCTTGACTAAAACATTCAAAATAATGGATGGCGTTTCTTTCCTTATGGATTTAGTGTGCAATGGGATGGGGTTACACAAGATATAGTCATTGCAATGTGACAATATTTTGATGGCTGATAACTTAGACTTATCTTATTTTGATATTTATTCAGGGCTAATTTCCACTATTCAGGAGCAACGCATATTGATGCTGTGTTTGATTCGCTTACCTAAATTTATCTGGAATGTTTAGGCACCGTCTAAACTACTGTTACGTGGTTACACTGGATGCATATCTTAGTACAGACAAATAGACACTTAACCTTTGACTCACCGTCGGCTTTCAGTGGAGTATTTCAGCTTGAAGCGAAACTTTGTTCTGCTCTGCATTACTTTTTGAGTGTGATCCCTTTCCTTGATTTCGTAGGCTGTATTCACCGACAAGTTCATGATTCTGGCCATCTTAAAGTATCAGGTTCCCGAACCGGCTTCAGCCGTATTGCAGCAGTCAGCCCTAGTTTGCTTGTTTTACTCGCGGTTCCGGACAGACTTACTTTGGCCGAGTCTACATGATGTGGATTTCTACACGGAGGTTAGTTAACCAAGCCCTCATATTATTTGTCATTTGTGATCCATCGAGTAATCATAATCTTATGTCGATGATGAAGAAATCTTACAAAAGTTACAGCATATCTATACTGGCTTGTGTCTAGGTTCATTGAACGGATGGATTCATTCGTCTTGTTTGAAGGATGTTGTGGTTGTTATGGTGAACCGTTTCTCCTACAATGTATTTCTGATGACATTTTCAGCCTCGTATGCGATCACCTATCTTGTGAGATGGCCTGCCCACTTGGTGGCAAAAAATGTAGTTACTATTCTCTAATTTTCTATCCCGAAGATGTGAAATATGTGGAGTTTTTTGAAGGTGCAGATAAAGTTTCCTAGGAAAGGTAGTATCGGGGACAAGGTAGAAACATTTCACATAAGGAGCTGCTTCCCTATGGAAGATCAGTTTGTTTCAAGCTCTTGTTGAAGAACGATCTACAGAAAAACTCACCCCTTGAAATTCTGCAGGTGTTTTTGTTCGCTGACACTTTCACCCGAAAGACGACACTTCGTCAATCCCATCAAGTGTCTCTCCGTACGAGATGACCGTATTCATAACGTCATTGTCTTCTTTTAAAAAAACTCCCAGTACTCACAGACTAATGCAAATTTATTCCGTTTGCATTCAGTTTATATGGCACGTTTTTAGCGTTAAACGAAAGTCCTTGATCCATATACAAGACCCACGGGTAGCCTTTATTTGTCCAGCCATCTGGTGACCAGTGTTTGTACTTCGGTTTTCTTAACCAGTGCAGCTAAATAGAACGAATAAAGTTTCATTGAAAACTTTTCCTGGTGACAGTTGTGACTTTTGATAGCCATTCACGAATAACTTTTGCGTGGGACTTCTCCAGGCTGGTTGGTTCAGTAGGTGTCCCCATCAACGGTAAGCTTTCAAATTGTGTTTAGAGAAACACCTAAACATCTTGTCATAGGTCCCAGTAATTTCAACAACTTCCTGATTTGTGCGCATCTGATATCCAGTTGTTCCTGGTAGAGACAACGATTCCGATCGCGTTTACGATCGCAGTTATGATCTGTTTCAAATGTGTAACCGAGTGACTTTGTCACACCTAACGAAACAAGGTGTACGGAGCACCCCTCTTCGCAGGCGAAAGTGGGGAGTATGGTACTAGTAATGATCAAGAAGGGAAGAGAATATTTCAGCTAGCATCCACACCAGACTACCAAGATCAGTATGCGTTTGTGTTTCCACTGCGAAGCCACACCACATGTGGTGAGTGATGACAGTCAGACAAACGTTCACCACCGAAAATGGACATTACTGCTTTGCAATATTTTTGGATCTTTAGGTTACTTCTAGATAGCCAGTGGCCTAACTCCAGAGGCTCAACATGTTCTCTTACATCGGGGAAGTCGAGATTGATCCTCAGTTGATGATATATTTTGTGGTAAACTGACGTGGATTAATTTTCTTCTACTAAGAGTCAGTTGGCTCTCGGAGCCAATCTTTATGGTTTGTGATTGCATTTCATGTGATTTGTCAGATGCGTACCGGCGTGAAACAAGGTTAAACAAGTCTTGGATTAGGACGACACATGGCGTCATCACCGAGGTGCATGTCTCTTGATAGTGTCTCCTTAAGTTCATTCTCTATTGAAGAACTGGATACCTTCATTCCCGACTCTCATATCCATTCTCATTCTTTACAGGAGGAGGGTTGAACCATGCTTTGCAGCATTTGGTTGCTCAGAGAAGTGGTTGCCGACCAGTATCCCTAGATAGCTATTTAGAGCCATTTTACTGCTGAATGCCAAAAGATAACTCGACCAGGAAAGGATTTTGAAGTAGTTTAGGCGACCTACTTTCTGGAAAAAAAATTCGGAATTTTCAAGCCCCACCTCCATTTCGTCATTATCTGCATAACTTAGAACTACTTCTGTGCAATTTCCAACAGCTCACACAATGTTTGCACAATATCATCATGGATCCATCAGAACCAGGCTCTCGTTTTTTGGCCATTCGAGTGTATGACGCACTCCTAGAAAAAGTAGCTGCTGCGGACAACAGTACCGGTGGCCTCCGTAAGGTCCCAGATCCCACTTAGCAATTTTCTTCCAGGTGATTTCATTCTCACTAATCCATGGAATGGAATTGTTCTTGAGCAACTTCAAGTTGTCGCACCTCAAGAAGAGCTCCTATATCCGTCCATTTTCCTCCTCCAGTTTGTTACAGCGGTAAGTGGGTTACACAAATTAAAATGTTACTTTCTGGACCCGCCTAGCTCGTGAAGACAGACGATCCGAGGATTCTACTCATTGTGGACAAAAAACTTTTGATGGATTTGCTCCAACTGTTTGTTCATGGTACAAATGAATGCCTTCCAAATGTGATGCTCAGTTTGAGACAACTGGCTGAAGAAGTATGATCCTGTTTCTAACCAGCTGAAAAATTCCATTTTAGCTTAGCCGTACAAACAATCTGGGGCTAATCAGCAGCATAGAAAAGGTCTCCTTACGGGTAAAGCTTCGAATGGAAGCAGTCATGGGTCAGCTGACGAGTCCCATGGATATATTTTTGACGCAGGTGAAACCCAAAACACTCGTGTGAAACCCCTTCCTCATATCATCTTTGTATATTCCAAAGTTCATATTTTGTACAGTTAGTGGTCAGAAATCCAACTTTTTGACAAAATTCGAAACAGGTTTTATCAAGCGGTTAAAAAACGCCATACGCCAGCCTCTCAGGTAATCTCCTAACTTACAGAAACCAACTCCATGAACGGCTAATCTTCGAAACGGATCTAGCGGTCAAAATTAATCGAACCATTGATCACTTGCTCATATTAACAAACTGAAGATGGGTTGCCTGAATCTGAATATGGTGCTGCGCGCAACATCATGGTGCCTACTCAAAACCGAGCGAGCAAGATTCGCGGGCAAACATGAGGAGACCTTTTGCCTGAACATGATGGCATAATAATGGGCATTCGTAATACTATGTGGGTGGTACCATGAACCGACCATTAACACAACGACCGTTAACACAACGTTAAGGTGGTGATGGGTAATCTGGCAATATTCCGTTACTACTGTGTTTAGTGACGTCATCTTTAGGATGGTAGGGGGCCATTAGAAAATGGTGCAAACTTACCTGAGTTTTAGGAGATTACATTCAAAAGGTGGACGGGTGAGCCTGCTGGTTATTCACAAGACTGATCCCACTAAACCATTTACGACCGGACGCTGCACGAAGCCACACAGAAGTTGGGTTGAGAAGATTCAATCTCTCTTGTATTACAATGCACAGCTTCCTAAAGCTTCTCACGCCTTCTTGAATAGCCGTTGCCCAAGCCATTTGGTCAAGTTCCAAGTCTCTATTTGACTCAAAATAAAAGTCCTACTCTTCTAAACTTATCTGAAAACCGTTCCGATAGTGTAATTTAGGGCGTATTCGATTTAAAAATCCGTTATTTAACTGACCATAGACAAGTTGCATCTGTATACGGGCTACAGCTATTCGTTTTGAGTAGCATAGCCAAGGCGCTGATTTTATCATCAGAGTGTATTCCATTCCAACAGCTTTTGCCCTCCGGATGAACTAAATTTTCGAGAAAAATTACGAAGACACTGCACGTGAAATCTGTCAGGAACGCGAATATGTCGTCCAGGTATCACTGCTGCACAATAGTATAAACAGTACGACAACCCGATAGACTGCAGTCTTGTTGTCTATCTACATCTAAAGACTGCTCCGGACACTTTTCATAAGGTGACAAAATGCCGTGCTTTCCTCAGCAATTCGCTCGTTTATTTCATTGTCAAATGCCAGATTTTTGGATGATGTACTCCACGATAACAGAATTCCGCACAGCACGCTATCTCAAAACAGTTTAGAAAAATACGTGGTGTACGATCTTCGACCCTCAATTCAGTCCTATAGAAGACAAAAGATTTCAGAAATATTTATATTAAACCTGGTACGAAACGCTATTGAACTGAAAGCCGTAGCCAGCTACTGTAATTCCGTTTTGGAATGATAAAATAATGTGTGGCTGTCTGAAAACGGCAGCATAAGGACACAAACTCGAGCAGCAGTATTTTGGCCAGAAAAAAGTTTCAATCTGAAGAGATAACCATCCGAAAAGTTTTGACTTGGTAAATTAGCGTAATGGAAGAACGCCACCAAGGAGATGGTTTTAACATATGAGCTGGAGAGGGCTAGGACAAGAACACAGCCTTGCTTCGCTCCAGTGTGGACTAGGAAAAATCGTTAAGGGTAGCTCTGCGGGTCCGTCCCCAGACCTTTATCTCAATGCGAAAAGCTTCTCTGGAGGAGAGAGTTTCTTAATGATGCAGACAGAAAAAGGTCCGAAAACCGATGGTAGAACTTGTTCTGTGCGTTATCGGAATGTGGCATTGTGGGAGAATGTGAGCTAATAACTGTCCCACATTTCTGTCGACAGGCGGAATCGGATGGCAACCGATATGGAGTTGATGTGGTCTGGTGGTCCATTATCTTCTGCTTCAAATGGTCTGCAACTGCGAATCCGACATTGTGCTTGTCAGCTATCTTGTGTTTTTGCACTCCAGTGGAAAGTGTAACGGCCTTAGCACTCACAACTAGGCGATTCGGCGGCCAAGAAGCCTTACTCGCGCGTGATTGTTCAGATCGGGCCTTTTCCCGCTACAGCATCAAGCCAAGCCCTGTAAAGGTGGATCTGACAGACAGGATGTTCTGACATCCGTTAAATGCTAGTTACCAATGTCATGCCTACTAGGCGCTCAAATTTCTGGAGTTGTTGTCACGTTGACTTCAAATGCTGTACTTGGGGTCTTGGCTTCTTTTTTTCGGGTGATTAGTACACTTGGTATGCCGTTTCTGGGAGCACTAACTGGGAAGGATCAGACCGAGAACTGGGCTGAGACCTGACGGTCACAAGTATAGAGGAGGTTGTTTCTGGTATAGTATTCAATTTAGACTCTGACCGGCTCGGACGTCTTCAATAGTTAGCAAACAGTAGATTTCAAGTTCACAAAATGCTTTCAGTACTCGAGAAAGATGACAATCAGCTTATTACTAAATTTCTTCACTGCGTTTCATTCTTTAGCCCACGCAAGCGTTCCATGGGATTGCTTTTGGAGTTCGAAATTATTATTAAGTAGTGGAGCTTGACGGGCTTTTCCATATTTTGATTACTCTCTTAATAAGCCATTGATGAAATCACGGTCCTTCCAGGTCTTCGGAGTTTCTGATTCGTGATCAACTCGAGCAATAAAATCTCTCGCTAACAAACGATGATGAATGGTGAGTATTGACCGAACGACTTTCGACAACTGAAAGCAAAGTTCCTCTGTATTCTGATTGTCATCATTCTTGGAAGGATGAGATTCGGCTCGCCCATTCTGATGACGCAAATTTAACTCCGTGCTCCCGCCGGTTGCTCTCATAGCCATACGGAAGGAAGAATATTCCGCTCCAGCTCCAAACTTTCCGTGATTGTACCATCTAGTCACGCTGAACGCCATATTGTTGATAACATACTGCCTGATTGCCTTGGTAACAAGAGCTATTCGTCGTCCAGCCCCTTCATTATTCCCCGCATCCACTTGTGTCCAGATGTTCCAAGTTCTAAGCTTAATTCTTTACGTTTCATCGGGGTTTATTTCTGTTGTGTCGTGGGTGTCCGTCTATGGGTTACGCCTGCACTGAGCCTGCCAGAATACGCAACAGTGAGAAGACTGAGGACACGGCTGTATTGCCAGGACAAAACATACAGAGCGTCTGACTAAATTGGCGAAATATGGTCGTTCACTTGTTCGCTCCGTACAGCCAGTGATGGTGTTCCGGTCGTGAGCACTCTCAGGCCCACTAGGCTGGTCGTCTGTTGCTAAGCCGTGTTTGGTGGGAGCCGCCGACTCACCTACTTTCCGGACTTGCAGTAGCGATGGTGACCTTAGAGATGCGTCACTCTCTGCACGTGTGCTTTTTCTTCTGTCTGGGCGCGCCCTGACAATTTCCAAATGTTCGGTAATCTTCTCCAAATTTTCAATGTCCAGGTCTGACCAGCTAAAAGGCAAACGTGGTGTTTCCTTGAATGTGCCCGTGGGGAGTTTTTGGTTACCCAAAGGTCCATTCAGCTATGGGGGCCGGGGACAGAGAATAATATATAGATGCGTTTTGGGTCGCTAGCGGGATTTTATTTTTCAGGAGTATTCTAATTGTATTGTTACTACAACAGGGATCATGGTCATCCTTCGGGTGATCGGAGTACGTGGTCTTTGAGCCGAACTTTTACTTGCGGGGACAGAGCATCACTGCTTCAGTGTACATGAAAATGCTAGTCGACCGTAGGAGACAACTCACCATCATAACGTAACTACTGCAGCTAACGGTAGACCTCACTTTCATAAGCGCCTGTCTGCACTTATTCTCCCTGAAGAACGTTGGTCTCGCTTCGGAATCGGATTTTCCGATCATCATTATCAATATACTGTGCACAGGAGCGGTGGCAAATATGTTGTTTCATGCAAGCACTAGGCACCGGTGCATGCTTTGGGAAATAAGATCGGCGCGTGAAACGTGGTCGTATAACAAAAAACACTTTCTTTTGAACTGAGGCGCTGGTTTCGCCGGTGAATTCCTCCAAGTTTAATAAGGACACCGCATTATTCAGGTAAGAGTACATAGGCAGGCTTCAGGCCAGTGGTTGGATGACCCCGTGTGCCTTCATCTGACAGTGTGACAATAGAGGTGTTGATGGGAAACCGGAATAGACTTCTGTTAGGCAGAGTTTGTGTGGAAGTGGAAGAAACTTGCCCAGGCACCCCAGTAGCCATCGAGTCAAGGCTTTTTTTATTCAACGCACGAGTTACTTCGGAATGTGGTTATCCGTCCACCTAATGTAACTTCTTTAAGGTAAGGTGCACTAGAATCTGTTGGCCTTGGTTCTTTTGAGAAACCCAGTACGAAAGAATCCGTAGGATCTTGGATGAACATTGAAAGTGAAATTCGTTGAACCCTCTAACGTACTTTAGGTATGGTGTCCATGTACGCCGTCATGCAATAGTTAAGACGATATGGTAGTTCGATATACTCACACATGGAGCAATGTGTTACCCACTTGAGTAGGACAGGGATAAGTAGCTGCAATACTATAGATCATCAAGATGTTCTTCGTTAGTTAAGACGATATGGTAGTTCGATATACTGAACACTGGTATCTACGACCACCGAACCACACGCGTTTACTCGTGCAATCGAATGCGGGGCTTGCCTTGGCACCAAGAGCATGCTGTTGAGCATAAATATTCACCACACACACCGTGGCCACTGACTTCAATGCAGGATGTCTGTTGCTCTAAACTCCGGACAATTTGATAAGAAATAAGTGTTTTGGGAGCATTTAAATTTTGGACCAGGGTGAGAGGTTGTTAGAAATAAAGATTACGGTCGTGCAGTCTGGAAATGGATAAAAAAACTCTATCTCAGCTCCGCCACCTAACATGCGCATTTATGCGGGACGCATGTAAGCAAGGGAAAACAGTCACGGCAAACGCATTCCACCTGATATGTAGACATGTGGTTCAGCAAAAAAAGTATTAGCCACGGCTGAAGCAGCCACTATCGGACCAAGTTCAAGAAGAAAACGCTTCCAAGCATCAAGTTTCATTGACCCACAGTATAGTCATGATTGCATTGGACATGCAATCTGGTTGTTAAATGGATCACTCAAAGCTTACAGGAAATTTGGTTTGGTCGTTTTGTGTCCTTTTATGAACTTCACCGTTCCCTTTCATGATATTTATATTTCTAAGGGCAATAGCCAATTAAAAGCAATACAAAATAACCAGAATTCTAGTTGTATGGCTGAGTTGATCATTAATGATGCCGAATCGGAAACATTTTTCGGATTTACTGTGGTTCCAGCCTAACCACGGTCGCCATTATTTCAATTCGATTTGGCTGTGATATGCTGAGTTGTGTAGCTAAGCGTACTTCGCTTGTGAATAAACGCGAAGCGTGCGTTTAGGGACTCACTAATGTAGAGGCTTTGAGATTATAGCGCTTTGGGTTTAAGCACATGTTCTTCAAATTAAGGAATCATGTATTGGTGATGTTTTGTTGTCTACACAACCAGAAGAATATTAAAAAACCAAAAGATCTTAATAGAAATTAATGGCATTACCATGTGACATTGTCTATCTGTGCGTAAGACGCCGCTAATACATAATTCCTAAGCATTCTACAAGTATTGCTGGCTACTGCTTTGCTTACTGAGCTGAGAGCTGCTTGTAGAGGACCAGGACCTTATCAGCGTGTCCGAACAAATTAACGAGAAAAGTAACCAATACAAAATCACAATAAGAAAAGAATGAGTTGTCAAATGAGGACTCACGAATGCGTAGATCCAATAATCCACTACACCGATCCAAATGCAGTAACCGGCTGTGAAAGAAATATTCACTCGTAGAAATCTCCCACGGATGATTCACGTGTGAGTGATATATTCCACGATAGGAAAGTTATTCACGGCTGGAAAATGTCACGGGGGTTTATTGTGAAGTTCAACAGTTGACGCTAACACGGAGATCTAGTCTCACTGGTTCAGCCAACGGAACGTAAATACACTCGTTCAGCAAGACGTCAGCAGGTCGCACCGGAAAATTGTGTATTCGCAACATTAATACTAATGTCATGATAAAATATGTACAACAGTTACAACATGTAGTTTGATTTCAGGAAAATGGTCAATGTGACAACGAATTACAGACACTACATGCTCATCGTTAAAACTTAAGTAATCGATACCCTGTTCACTTACAGATTTGATAGACAGAGCTTATGAACAAAAGAATGACTTACAGCTAGGTATTTGTTGAATGAGAGGTTGATACATCCATTCTGACCCATAGAAAACCGTTTCATATAGGAATACCCATCTGAGACAATAGTCTCCCCTCGTCCTATTGTTTCAATAGTGAAACTCTTTCGGCAGAATGATCCGCACCAGCGAGCACTCAATCACAGTTCATATAGCCAAATTGAGATACAAATCACTTTTTATTCTTAAGTTACGGCCAACATGACCAATACCGCGTAGGGAAGCAATGCAAACGTCGCTTGTCCTGTAGTCGCTTGAAGATTGGAGTAAACGCAGGCCTAATAAAGTACAGACTCGAATTAAAACCGTTCAACCGCTATCATCTACGCCATGAATACCAATCATGTTTGGGCAGCTGCAGTCCAAGTCATCCGCGAGCCTTTTTGTTTTAACTCACGAAATACGTCAAGGAAAAGGAAGAAAGCTAGTGGACTTGCAAGGAATCCATTTGTCATCCAAAGTTGGATGCAGAATCCACTCGTAAAACCGTTGGGTAATGCTACTTCCAGGTAGATAACCAGTGAGGTACGGATTTTTGGGCGAGGTTTTCAGGTTGGGTGCAGTGCTTGTAATCGAAATTTCAGTACATGGTGTTTCCTTTGAGTGTGGTAGCTGAACTCATCAAACAATCTGGCGGATAAGAAAGTGGTAGATGATAATTTACCTATTTTCACCCTTGGGAGCAGTAGAGCTGCTGGTGATCACTAAATGTGTGAATGCCAATAAGTTTAGAGTAATACCTAGTAACAGTCAGCATCAGCAGATCAAACCGGATAGTCCAGTGGGCAAGATAACGCACAAAACAAGCGATTCCTTTGAAATTGTCATCCGAATCTATGAAAAAAAGTTCACAATTTTACGCTTGGAACATTTCGTTAAGAAGCTCACACTAAATTTATATCTTACAAAAGAGCGCTATTAAGTTCCGGTTCGAATCCATGTTTATCTCCGTCTGGCTACCGCTTACCAAATCCACACGTGTTTTTGGTTCACTCGTAAGAAGGTCATTGAGATGTCTTGAATGGGCATACCACTCTTGAACGCATGGCACAATTAATTAGGCTTCCAACTAATTTGTCAAAAAAACGCGGTCACTCAACATGGACAAAGTCATAGTGAGTGGTATAGTGTTTGCCATTCATCTGAGCCTCGCACCCGATAACTGACCCCTCTAGTTTTATCTTCGGCTTCCCAATTGCTACTTGCAACGGATCTCCTGATCGGTCTGGACTTCTTTTCATTCCCCCACTAGTGACGAAATTTGTGCACGTCATTTACCAAGCTCAACGAGCAGATGAATAGCCAGCTGGTCAACCGCCAATGAATGCAGTCGAGCTACCAATATTCTAACACGTCACCAACTATGCATGTATTACTGGAATCGCTTTGCGGTACAAATCAACAAACCATATCCTCTTAGATGGAATCGGTTTTTTCTCTGGAAGGTTCCATCTATAGAAATCGGTCATCAGGAGAGAGTATTAGAATAATCTGTTCATTAGATCTCCGAAAGGGTAGTTTTCTGGCCAGATGCGAGCTTAATATAATGAACGATGACATGCTTGAATTAAAGTATTTTCAATTTTTATCCAAAGGATTTTGATTGCGTGGTCGTGTATTACCCTGAAAACCTATCAAGTTCAGGTGGATTAGCTAAGATAGAGTGAATCATGGAAGTGCTTTATTGATTAGCAAGTCATTCAAACAGACCTTAGTATAATTATTGCGTTGAGTGCGCAACGAACATCCAAATGGCTCGGCGGATAAGAGTGAACCAAGAGCCTTATAATGGATTTCTTCTGCCAAGTAAGTTGTCCATAATACCTTTTATGCATAATAAAATGCTATCGTACCTTTATCGTGTTCACTGCCATCATCGGAAGATATTACCAGTAAAATCAACACTGACAATGGAAGCAAAGGAATTACTAAACTCCGGCAGATGATTAGCTGTGACTTGCCTTGATTTGTTTACGACTCTAGAATTGTTCCATAAAATATGAATATCCGTTGCAGTATGCTTACAAAATAGATTGGAATTTTCTACAGCGGAGACACGAACTTTGGACAAGATGTATGTGTGGCGCGCTAAAAGCGGAATTTCCTGTTTTGTTTTCCAATAGGAGACGTTTTTGTATGGGGTACTAGGACTTAACTGTCTACATACATAGACTTATGTGGTTCAGCTTTTGTTAATGACCTGATCAGCTTAAGAAAAACCCAAAGTACACATAACAGGCATAATTGTAAAAAAGCCTCTTGGAAGTCCAGAGAAGCATTTAAGCTAAACGTTCTTGAGAATCTGTGGACATTTTGTTCAAGTTTAGTTTCTTGAATTGTTATGAGTACTACATATAGCCTATTTATGGCTGATTAGCAATATGCTGGACAACCCTGACTTTCTCACTTTAATGCATCATTAATAATAGAGCATTCTAGTTTTACGAAACTGAATACAATCCCTTGGAATCCAGTGGTGCTGTACCAACATCCATCCAAGCTGACACCAATGACACAACAGCAATGAATATAACACAGTTTGAGACGCGAGATAACAGTTAAGTTCGGAGAGTTCAAAATGGAAGACGCGATGGAGGAGTTTGACCTAAATCAGACTACAACCTACTTCCCCAAATGTTCAATAAAGTAATGACCATCAATCCGAGTGGGTTTTTGATGGGCTCATCTGGGGCCGTTGTATATATTGTCAAGTCTGGCAATGGGCTTATCGGTAAAGACTCGTGGAAACATGTGTCATTAGCTTCTGCATGGTTGGTAGAATGCGAATTCGATGACGAAGAATGGAATTGGAGTGAGTCTTTTATGCATGCAACCAAATTTCAACATGATATAGCAAGTTTTCGGAACAATGAGAGCAAGTTGAAGGTTGATGGAAAGTTGCGGACTTAACTTACCTGATAAAACTCAAGTAGGAAAACACCGGTCATGGGCCTTCGGGGACTTCTCAGAAATTTCATAAGTGGTGTTCCTTTGAGAAAATCTGCCGCAGCATTTAGGATATTGTACCAAACGAAACGTGAGATTGCCTTTGTGCAGAGTATTCAACTGAAGAATATTACCAGCGGGAGATCCAGCTGGAATTCGGTTGAGCTTCAAGATTTGTAGAATTATCGATCTCGACCGAACAGTGGAGACCGTTCTGACGCAACTGTTACAGGTGACCTCACATCAAGTAGCAAAAGCACTGGGATCAAGTTTTACTCTTCAGCAATGCTTTGCCATGCTGAGATTTGAATTCTGAACTTCCGCGAAACGACCACGTAATAACTGTTCCACGAACACAAGCTGGAGGCACCCGAATTTTCACCTCTAAGAAAGCAAAGTTTTCACACTTGAGAGACATGGCTGGTCCACCGGATGCCTTTTAAGATTGGAAATCCTGAAACTTTGCTAAGAATGGGTGGTTGGTCGAGATGTTGCCAAAAACAACAAGATATGCACAGAATGGGAGTTACCATCAAACTCTACTTCCCTGATTTCACTCATCTCCTTTTTAACAAGCTTCCTTCATTTTCACCTATTTGGCAAATTTTGTTTCTTCTTCCTTATCAGAAATGCTTCTGAAGATAATCGCAAATCTGCTTTCCCTGTGAGTTTGTTTGCAGGTGGAAATGTATGTTTTAGAAGGAACTTCATAGCATGTGAGGGGGATTGATAACCGCGTACCTCATAGCGTTGTTTGATCCTCTTACTATTATTCAGGTGAACGGGATCCATCAGATGAAGGTGCTAGATGTAACATTTCTGAACTTACTCTGATGTGTAAGCTTCGCTGTGAAAAGGGCCATGACAAATTTCGAAACTGCAACTCAGTCTGATCGAAGTTAAACCACTACTCATGGGTTCGCCTTATACACTCATTTGCATACCGATTTGGTTTTGACTTGAGACTCGTCCGGAATCCAGCTGAATATCTCGTTTATGATTTGCTCTCTGAATTGAATGTGCTGCACAAGCTGTATCATGTTTCAGTTGGTATGCTATTCGAGATATCACAGTATGTTGCATGGACGTGACACACTACTCGCAAGGTTGCTGAAAACTCTTCGACAACCCACGACCGGTTTCGCTCTTCTTAGGACTCATAGGTAAGCGCGCTCTCCGGGTTTCCGTCATCCCTTTGTGCTACTTGACCTTCCATTTTGTTTTTGATGGAAGACTCACATGGAACCCAGATGAATATCTCGTTCATTACGTCCCCATTCAACACCTCGAGGGGTTGGTAGGGAACTGACTTTAAACCACATTGTAGAGGCAATGGAAATATACTGAAATCGGGGTAGTCAGAGAACTGAACCACCAGGCCATCACAGATTCCAAGAACCACTTTAAGAATCTGTAGCCCATGCTCTGTTAAGGCTTGTTTTGTCAAGCCAGTTTTAAGAAACGAGGTAATAAGTATCTTTTCGAAATAACTACAGTACATTATTGGAGCAGTTCGCCCTACCTTGGGCTCATTTTCACGTTTTGTCATCTGTCCCAAGAAGCGCTGAGGGTTTCCAAGCTGGAAGTTCCCATGTCGCACAATTACTGAATTCCACAAGAATCATTTCTGATTATGGATTATGATGTGCATTTTATGTCTGTGTCTAAAGCAAAGATGGTAAAAGATGTCAGCTAGATTTCACAAACGAGGGACTGCACAGAGATAGCGGATACACCCGACTAGGATGTGCTATTTTAAGAGTTCGAAGAGGAGGTTGAGTTATTCTCAGATGTTAGGTGAATAAGAAGGGACACTGAAAGGTTTTGCAGAATTGAATCCAGTCAAGATTCAATGAAAAATAAAAAAGGGTAGCATAACAGCACAACGCTTTTAACGCATGCAAGATGAAAATGTTCTTGAATTCACATGGCAAAAGGTTTACCGGGTAATTCCCGCCCTCTGAATCTAAGCAAGTGTGAAATTTGTGATGACAGATCACAAGACAGATTATCATTTCTCAAAAATTGTTTGCGCATTATTTGCAGCTGGTTTAGAATGAGGTAACTCGGGCATACATAAGCTGAGTGGACTCGCCAAAAAGTGAGTGAAAGCATTCACCTTATTTGGAACTCAACAATTCCAAAGGTGGATTTTTCATTCTCACATGTTTCCCATTTTTTTGAGAAGGAAATCAATGCCTAATGGTTTTAAGACACCAGTCGAACAACCAATCGAAGGGAGTAACTCTGGAACGCTGGATCCCCAAAAATATGGACCGTTGTAAACTCCAGATGACACAGAAATAATCTAGTTGATTTACTTTCCCCGAGGTAGACTTATACACCAAAACAAGTTGTTGGAGTCGTCCATCTCATTGTTCTCTCAAATAACTTCAGCGCTGCCCCGTTCGATCTCTCCTCGGTGCAGTGAGTCAGCTGATTTCAATGTGTTCTCGATCTTCGATATGGACCGAGGGTGGGGGCAGTGACAGACCATCGCAAAATGCATCGACCCTTGTACTTCTTCACGGTTGATGCGCAGCATACACCCAAAAGGCGTTACAGCTGAATGATTAACAATCGCACTCCCGTCCCATTGTACTCACAAGTTAAATCGGCTCTGTTCACGCAGCACCGTAAGTGCTCACGACAAGCGCTGTGGGCCTACGGAAGGATGACCACGGCGGAAGCAATTCAAATGGCTTGTTTAAGCCGAACAATTTGGGAGCAATCTCTTGAGTGGGCCAATGGGGATCAGGGTTGCAAAACGGACTCAAGTCATCAGCTTACGGTGGAAATGTGCACTTAGCCAACAAACCTACAAGACTCAAACTCATGCGTACAGCTGAACTGGACCACTGGCAGTGCGAATGCTGATGGACCATAGCTCATAAGGAAGAAAATTAGTTCTAGCTTACGAAAATCTGTGAGTCAGTAGTCAGTGCCGTGGATTGATTCGGAAAAAGTTGTGACTGAAATGGCTGTTGAGATTGGGTGAAAAATAGGTATGATTAAGGCGACCAACCTGGAGAAGAATCGTGACACGGAAATGACAAGCACAACGGACTAACTGTGAAGCCCATCAGACTTGAGTTTAGTTCAATTGAGTTTTTCAACCACAGATGTTCAAAGGTGTGGACACAAAGCAGCCATTCTACATACCTGTTCTTGTCAATGGGACGCCAGAAAATCGGTGAACATGCACTTCATGGAACATCAAGTTTCACAAGGCAACGAATGAATCTATAAAATGAAAAGGTTAACAACCAGAATTTTCGGTGATAAACCTTTATACAGAGGGCGATTTTACGACAGCTGAATTTGCTGAAAACGCCGTTATCTCGGCATCACGAAGTTTACCCTCTTTTCGGTTAGTTCCGGTCTTTCGGTGATAGATCCGGACATACATTTCATGAGGCACACTAGGTGAACACGTAGACAAAAAAGTATCACCTCAAATGTCTTGTCTTCATAGAAAGACATCTACCTAACTCAAAAGGCTTCACGAGCGGTCATCCGGTACTCAATTATGGCGGACTTTAGCTAAAAAAAGAGGACAACAAACCGAGAATCTCCACATTTCTGCAATTCACGTGAGAGCTGAGAATGTGAGCTATGCATTATTTTCTTTCCCATTCCAACAAGTTGTTTTAGTGACAAGGATTAAGAACGAAAGACGGTTATTTTAGTGATGTCTTCGGGGGATATATGCTTCATTCTTGTTCGAGGTTTCTGGAGCTCCATACGTGGAAACTCACTTCTTGTTTGCAGTTGATAGAAACGCACACCACTAAATGGACCTGAACGTGTATGCTCTATCGGAATACCGTCTTGACCTATACATCCAAAGTTTCTTCATGTTATTTGAAAGCTGCTTATATTAACACTGATTCTATTATTGATACAGCCCGCAGGGCTTTGAGCAAAGCTTAGGTTAACTCCAAACGCATCCGCCCTCTGCGATCCTTTTAGCAGGATACACTCATTTGCAAACGCATTGTGTTTTGCGAGAAAATCACCTGGATCCCACCTGAATCTCCTTTCAACTAAATATGCAAAAAGAGTTTAAATAGGCCAAGCTACTATTTTTAGACTTTGCTGAACACAAACATTCAATGAGTGATGGCCAACTTCTACTGAAAATTACTTCGAAACTTTTCGTCACTCAGTATACCTGGGCATCAGTTTGATCAGAATGTAAGAAGACACACGGCCAAGAAATTAGGAAGATTGGCTTGGTCTACTTTGGGTCACGTCATTAGTGAAATCAGCTTATTTGTATGGGGCAGAGTGCAGTGTGCGTGATCATACCATATGCTTAGGAAGAAGAAAGTTGTCGGTGTTTCCAAAGCGTTACTAGCGACTGATAGGAAGTGGAGGGCACCCGATATTCGTCTTAGGGTTTACGGGAAAATGTCACAGGAGATGAATCAGCGACCCTCGATCGGCTAATGTAATTTAGGTTACATGATTTGTATACCGGGTAATTTCTGAGGGCGAACGCTTTGAAACTGGAAGGCAACGAACGATTTGGTAGTGAAGCACGGAGGACATGATCAACAACCGGTTTTATGCTGCGACATACGATTGGTAGGTCGGTGACTTCAGGGATAAGTGTATGGAAAAATGAAAACACAGTCGGAGTACAGAAGGGCCACTTACGAAAACACCTCAGGATTATCTGTAAGAAGCTTCCTTTAGAAAAGTTCCACAGGACTTTCTGTCTGCAAACATACCACTCAGTGTAGTCCCGGAGGAGCTGTTTTATCCAAAAGAAGGAATACCTGAACATCATTATCCATAGGAGATTACATCCCTTTATTCGGAGGCACCAATGAAAATTTTAAATGACGCAAGTCTGTGCAGCGAAGCCACCTGAAACTCAGTTGAATGGATTGTAAGGTATATTCAATGCTGCAACCAAATTGATGTTACCCGAATCTGAGTTTATCCATTCATTACAAAAGTGTGAAATCATCATCATCATCAACAGCATGATATCAGTGTTCAACACCGATGCTTCACTGCCGTACAACCATGATTTATTTGAAAGCCTTGTTGTGGAGAAAAGAGTAAAGGTGGACGGGGAATGGATTTAGTGCTAGCTTACCACAACCATTCACTCAGGCAATCTGGATAGAAACTGACAACAAGAACGCCACTGACATCACTGGGCAGCCATATCTTGTAGTGTCTCCAACCAGGCACAGTGAGGATTACGCGGTCCCCACCCTGGAAGGCGAGTAGCACCGACAGCACCCAAGCGTTTCGTGATCTCCTTCATACTCCTCTGTTTCGCCCGGTTGTAAAAAAAATGAAAAATAAGGAATCGTTCAGCTGTAGCACCCTTTCGGTGCGTAGCTTCCATGCCGCACGAAGGAGGCACGAGGGCTTGGATACCGCCAGGTTGCCAAAGCCTAGACAGGCGAAGTCGAGAGGCAGAGGTCAGTAAATTCGCGCTCTAACCACTTGGTCCATCTCGTCCCCATCGCTTGGTTGTCCTCACTGCTCACCGCTTCAGTGTAGGTGAAACAAGAACTGTGCCACGGTGCACAGTTATTGGCTGACACAGTACACCGTACACAGTACACACATAACCGATTCCAGAGAATACAAAAGCACCTGAGGGGAGCACGAAAATAAACTACCGACAAGACCAGAAAAACTCACCGAATTACGTGACACATTGTGTGAACTGGGTGCACACCTGCTTACGTAATGCTAATTAGTCAAATGCGTAACTACTGTTTCCATCATGATTTCGTCAAGGCTTCCTAAAGCAAAGTTAGTTTCCCTAAGCGTTAACGCCATCAGCCGAAAATCTCAGGCATAGCTGTCAGGCTAGGGTGAATCCCTTACCATGGTCGACAAACCAAAGTCTTGGGGAAATCTCTGTACTTTCACCTATTCCAAATGCTTACGTCCTTTCAGTTCCTATTTTATCACATGTACTGCCTAAAAGCATAGTATGAATCTGCAATTTTGCTTTCCACCCACAAGGTCAGATACCGCAGCTGAACCCTGTGAATACGTATTACACGACAGACAGCCGGTGTAAACGATATTTTTGTGCTGTTTGTGGAGATTGCCACCCGGTGAACACAGACTGCACTCAACGCATCACAGAATGGTTGACTGGGACCACCTTACCAGACGCATTGCATCGATCACTGGAAGCAAATATCATCGATTCTTACACACAGATGCGTTTTCAAAAGGCAAAACAGGTGGAGAAAAGCGCCTGTGACATTGTTTATATGGAGAGTGAGCGCAGAAAAAATGAGGCAAATGCACTGTCACCATGCTGAAACTCGGTATATTCTCTCCATTTTTCAGCATTTATTTTCAACGATGGTTTTGTAAATTGAGTTCAATTTTTTAGTCCAAAAGCTTTTTTGTTTTAAATGTTCTAGATCCACAAAAACCTTGGCGCCTATTCACAGAGGGCCTATTGCTGCACCATCTCCAGCTGGGAGGTGTGCCGTATTATCTTGTTCATCTGTTGCAAATCAGAAACAATAGTAGCAGGATTGATAGTACCGACGGTGCGCACTAAATTTCACTTGTGTTAATACACAGCGATCAGACTGGTGCCGCGGCCGTTGTGAACAATACCTACCGGTTGGTTTTTCTTCCGCCGTTTCAGCACCAAATCAAATGCCAAAAATGCATGTTAGATGTGTACATCCGTTTAATATCTGCAAAACTGGCTAGGCGTGCACTAGTCTCGACTTTCGTCAAGACCTCAAGACAACCTATCACTCGGCCATTGTCAAACAGTTTAAAATCCAACACGAATAAGGATATCAACTGCTGATTCAAAGCAGTCATTTACGGCTTGTATCACAAATCGTACAAGAATTCTATCTGATCAGGTCTAAGATTACCTGCAAATCTTTCGTGTAAGTCAGACTATCTGCATCGTGTGCAGATCCAATTTAAGTCATGGGAGATATACAGACAAAATACATGGCTAAACGACGTTAAATGATCACGCGAGAAGTATGGTCTGAAACAAATATCGAAAGCAAGCGTTTTGGTCGAATGAACAAGGCCCATGTAATTCCTTCACACCATACTTAACGGCCTACTATTGTCATATATTATGGAATAGACAGAGCGAATACATTAACTTCGAAATGTATTTTATGAGTCTGTGATAGGACTCCTGCTTGACATGGGGCATTGAATATGCTGCCTGTCCACCGACAAAACCGAGGCTGGGTGTGGATGGGAGTGTCCAAGACGAAACTGGAACCCGGTCGTCTGTATGAAGGGCGAAAAGCTCTTCCTTCCGAATAGAGTTTAATCTGACTGAAACTTAAAGTTGACCAAATATTCAGCCATATGGGTCACCGAAAACAATGAAGCACAACAAATGCTGCCCGAGATAACTTAATCTGACTGAAACTTAAAGTTGACCAAATATTCAGCCATATGGGTCACCGAAAACAATGAAGCACAACAAATGCTGCCCGAGATAACTAGCGAGAACGGCAAGAATATCACTGCCACCTGTTAAAGACAGACTGTCAATCTCGAGCTGTGTTTACAATTACAAATGTAGTTAGAACGGAGACGTGCCTATTACATCGTTCGAAGAAAATATACTGAGATGGGTGTTCACTTCCGATTAGAAGTTCTGTAAGACCGCCTGTAAAATGCTGCAGGTGTAACAGACTGAATCAGCACATCAAACATTCTCTGGGTTGCCAGTTTCCAAACTAAAAGGGTCGTTTGCGCCGGACACCGGTTGGAGCATTCAGACGCCTTGAACCACACTTGTGTCTGGGATGAGATGGTTTTAAGTTCGTCTTCATTTTGACAGGGCTCAACTTAGACAAAATCTACACACTTCCTCAGACCGTTCCCCCGCCCTCAGTTCCTATCGCGCCACATTTTTTGTTCCTCCATTTATTGCCTTTCTACTCCTTTGAGTAAAATCGAGGTGTATTGAACTCGGTTGTTTGTCAACCCTTTGACCGCGCGGTCAAAATTCGGTGACATTTTCGTATGCATTGAAAAGTGGATAAGCAATAAAAGAATGAAAGAAACCTGGTGTTAGTGATTTCAGAGGCGCAAGCCGGCTGAACGATCCACTTAAGAAGGGGTTACCTAAAACTCTCCCGGTATATATAAGTAGCCCAAGCATTTCTCTCGCACCCCTCTATATCCACGCAGGCTGAACGTCCTGCTTAGTAGCCCTGCTGACCAAGTTGAGTTGCGGAGCGCTTCAGTATCCAGCTGATCCGATGAATTCATATCAAGATATCTTTTTTGGACAGGCCTCTACCTATCCTGATGCAATTGCTCGGGTTTTCTGCTTTGCCGTCTGACTGAGTAGCGATGACAGGCACGGAATCAGTCGGTACAAACGGTGTGGTTTAGGACAGCGGTTGCCAGCCGAGGGGACGATTCCGCCCTAAACGGACAGGTTTAAAGGGGAATAAAAATTAGACTCTATAGTGTCTAGTGGAAGGTTTTTTGTTGCAAAGGCTTACGTGGCCCAGACTACTTTTCTGCTATCCACCAGCTACCTAAGTATGTAGGTCGCTGACGGCGTGAACACGTGTACGGACGCGAAGAATCCACAAGTCGAAACGATCCGAAAAGTCCGCCGATACTATGGTGAACAGTCAACTGAGAAACTAGTCAGAGCTAATGGAATGCAAATCGGTGAGGTGAAAACGGTAAACAATGCGTCATGTTCAAGCCTGGCATGAAGTGGAGTGGGGGTACGTCTGGCTTGTGGATCCTCATTCACATTACATGTCCATCGATTTTCTGGTGTGTATGTGTGCTACCCTGCGGATCTGCTCCATATCGACACCGTCAGCTCTATACCGTCTTGGGGGAACGTCTTAGCTCTCAACGATGATGCTCTCGTGGCGCAAAATGTCAATCCAACAACGATCAGGATGCGAATCAGTGTGGTAGACCTGAACAAAGGCATGAAAAAACACCATTTTCTCTAGATGATTGGGGTCTCAAGATGTGATTATCATCTGTATAGCACATGGCTACTACAATTTCTCTTTGTAAAGAGCACCTCTTGCGATTAACTCATTGAAAGCTCCTCGAATGGTGAGGTTTCCTCCTAGGGGGGACAAGTGAAGATTAGCTTTGGTGGGTCCCTACGGGCATCCTAACTGTAGTTTCCCCCGGGAACATCGATCAAAAGTGACCTTGTGGCAACTATAAGGTACTAACAGTTAACTGTTAGCTTTCATGGATGCTGTGCATCAACCAACTTAATGGTTACTATTCATATAAAATAGAAGAAACCTTGTTGCTGGATGGATTTGGGATGTTTGCTTTGACTAATGGTTCTCTAGTCCGCAAATACAAGCGAACATCTCGAAGACTAGTGGTTGCACCACGGAGAGGGTTCGCTGATAGATGTCTCAGAAGAGCTTAATAAGCATACCGGGGAGACGGTGGGATGTCGTCTTCCTGACATATGCGCTCACTCCAGAGGAAATACGTTTACCCTTGCTGTCATCATTAAATGATCCCATGGAAAATACTACCCGCTTGAATTCCAGCCTGCACAAGAGAACGATATTCGTATGCAGGTATTTACTTTCCAACGAAGCAGAAAATCAAGTCAGAAGTGTCGTGCTTTATTTCTGAGAATACAAATCTTCGGACTGAAAGAAAAACTGAAGGGACGGCAAAAATTGAATGTGCTAGCGACAAACGAGCAAATAAAATTAGTGAAAGTTTCTGCACGAGCAAAACTGATAATCAAACAGGGGGAAATAAAGTAATACAAAGTTCTAGGTTGTTCAGAAGAATCAAGGTTTTTGTGCATCGGTCACTGAAGGTTTTGTTTGCGAGGAGCGGAAGGGACCGGGTTCACCGTAGTGCAATTCCACCTGCCGGTTCAGGCAATCGGTTATGGCTTGCCTGAAAAAAAGAAGATCGGACTAAGAAGTCAACAGTCTTCATTCTTCTTCATGCGAGCCAGAAGATTCATCGTCATAGACGTCAGTTACTGAGACAAACCTCTACAGTGAAAATAGGATCAATGAAACGGGAGGTCAGCCTAAATCTACAAACATCCAGTCAAGCAATCTGGTCAGAAGACGACAGTATGAGTGTCCCTGATATCAGCTGGTAGCTACATCATTTAGCGCAACTGGATGGATACGGTGCGGGACAAAGAGACTTCGTCATTCAACGTGTACAACACCGAAAGTACTTCATTTCTTCTGCACTGCACTACCTTCACATACTACCCGATTTTGGTTTGTGTCACCCAAAATGCAGTGCGAAAAAACGCTGCTCCTGGTAGAGGACAACTAGCTGCTATCTCACCAAATATCCGTTTTCCCATCACCCCATTAAAGACTAACTGGTGCCAAACTTAAACCATCAAAGATTCCTCCCAATCATAGAACATAGTGTAGTTTGACAGAAGGCACTTTAAGACCAAAAATGCGTTTGTTTGACAGCATCAGTAGCGCAAACTGGGTGGCTTAATTCGGGTGTTGGGTTCATCTAACACATCACAACCAGGGAGTGACTTACTGTGATGTGAAGACATGTGCACCTCTGTGTCCCGGTAAAAGTAGAGTGAAGGTGAATACTACGCCTGATGTACTGTGTATTGACCACAGCCCGTTTCTATAGACTGCCGAAAGGGATGCCTCATTTTGAAAATTAGAGCTGCCAGGAACTGAATTCGAATCAACGGGGTTCTGTCAAAGAAACTGGCACTCGGGCACTAATCACTGCAGTTTGTCACTAAGTAACAATAAGAAACCAACGACATGGACTAGGGATGCGCCAACAATGTCACACGGGATATTCTGCGTTCACCAAGACCGGTAAGTCAACATACTATAAATCGACCTCACCACCAAACAGTCTATGTATGGGTGGGTCTTATCATCCCCTCTGAGAAAGTTCAACCGATGCTGTGAAAATAAATAACTAACTACTGTCTGACAGCGACATGTCGGTGCTACGTCGTGTACCAATTTCTCGTCTTGATGATGGGGAATTGAAGAAACGAACAGGGTGAAGTGCCTTTGATAAGACATGACAATCACGTGATAATGACTACGATTATCTAAAGATAACTCTTCGCGAACGACAAGCAATTTGTATGAAGAACAGTCTGGGTTGGGACCTACCGAAAGTCTCTGGTCCACACAGCATTGCGGAGGTATGCTCCAACATGACCCGACTGGGGTAGTATTCGTATCTCAGCTCCAGGGTAGAGCTTATTGAGCGGAGTTACACCATGCCGTGGAACATAGGCGTCCTGTTCCGCGGTCACAGCAAGCACGAGACGTGGGTCGGTTACGGGTGAGAAATTTCCAAGATGCGTGAAATAATCCATCAGCTCACGTAAAAACTGACGTACTTCGGGGTCCGGTGGAGTAGAAATGATGTTGCTGATGTTTTGCGGCCACGGCCGGAAGTAGGACATTCCAGTGTGCCAGATGGATGTATCAAAAGGGCGGCGCAATGCATCGGGAAGGTGCCAAGTCCGGCTATCACCTAGCTGTTTGAGAGGGATACTGAAACAAACGGTGGTTCGGAAATTACACGGTGGACAGTAGCTAGCGGATAAAACTCACGGGACGCATAACACAATTCAGAAAACCAATTGTAAGCGGACATGCTGAAACAACGAAAGATTAGCACAAATGTATCTGAACTAACCACGAGCCGATCGCACCAAGCAACAAAGTAATCGAAACGTCGATTATGAAATCACTTTATGTGATAGCTTGAGTTGTTGAAGATGATACTAAAATATCCTGAATGACGAATCTTCTCCCCAATATAACCCAGTTGAGTAAATATGCGATCACCTCTAGCTGAAAATTTACCCTTTGGATTCAGTAAACCTACCAGCCTCAGTTACACAAGCCTTCGTTTCAGTTGCAGGCAGTTAAAAGGGTGGATATGCGAAGCAAGTAACCAACAACCGAAAACTCAACGGTAAATGGCAAGCAGAATACATAAAGAAAGTCGGACGATTAACGGGGTCGACCTCTTGGGAGTAGACCATGTAGCTACTCAGTCACCACACACTTGACTGTTCAACTCACAGTCGCTCACTGGATCACGAGGCTTGTCTTTTTTCCATACTCAAACCACGTCACATTGAGCTGACTCACCGGACATCGATTGTCTGTACCGTCTAGTGAGCGCAGCAACAACTCATGTGCTGACAAACCCACGTACACTTAGACGGACCTACATATAGGGAAACCGAACACAGTCAGCACACAGACTCGCGCGCGCGCAGGGAGCAAGAAATCAGCCAAACACTCCAAGTCCACGGACAATTACGGAATACGTGTAGCAGCCAAACTGCGGAGAAAACACGTTCCCGCCGTCCGGACTTTCACCAAGGGACTCTCACAGACGATAAGTTCCTTTTTTTGACTTTCTCCCATTTTCGCATTGTATTTATTTTTATACGTGTTGTAACCCACCACTGTCAACCATGCTAAAAACTTTTATTAGTGCATACACCTTCTGAATTGTATTATGGCCATCCTCAACAGTACATTAATAACCACAACTCTTCCAAGAGAGAGGTAAAGACATTGTAGAGAAGCGCTCCCAGTAGAAACACTCCTCGTGCTAAAAAGGAGTGGAAAAAACTCAATATGAAGAAGGACTGGCTCCATGAGCAATAGGAGACTGATCACGATTTCTGGAGTCATTCTATGCTATCTGGTAGAGAGTATGGTCCTGATAGATCACTGTGGTATTTGTCCACAGACTCCCGTAAGAATGGAAAAACAACAATTATTCTGGATTCCCTACAACCGTCAACTTTTGACCACAGTCATGCTCTCTACAGAAAGGCTTCCGTGTCGTTCCGGTGCAAGGTTGGGCCAGAATTTGACTTGAAATGACTAACAAATAAAAACAGGCCTACTCACCAATACTTGGACACTGTTACAAACACGGTACGTGCATAGAAGCACTGAGTACGAGGTTCAGTTTGTGGTTAGGTAAGCGCGGTTTATTGTTGACTTAAAGTACCAGCCCAGCAACAGCATAGTAGCTTCACGGTGGATTTTCCGATGCCGGTTTAAGAGGTCAACAGCAAGCACACATCGCAAAAATTATCCTTTTTGATTTTTCTCATCCCCACTCAAATCAAACCAAAAGTTTCGACACATATTTCTTGGAGCGGTCAGCCACTAAGTTCGGCACAGAGGTCGGATATGTGGTGCGTGTGGATACGTGGAGTTCTAATAGCGAAGAAATCGCCCATGCGACTGAGCTTTTCGGGATCCAACCACACCTTTAATGCACACACTCAGTAGAATTCCAAGAAGTCCCGCTAGAATCGATGACAAAACACACTGCTTATTCACCGGATTCATTCAGTTGTCTGAGTAAACCAACATCACAGGAGAAAGAGCAATGATAAAAAGTTTAATATAAACGGTTCAGGTGATTTTGCTCGTTGTTTGGTACGGCTTTGGAAAGGAATAAAGAAATCATTACAAAGGCCGTGAAAGAGGACGATATTTCACGCATTATTCTAAACGGAAGTGTCACACTAGGCTTCCACATCGGTTCGTTTAACGAGCAACACATAAAAACCATACTCAGTTTGTGCTGTCCAGTTAACAAAACCATGACTGACATACCGACATACGGCAGCCCTCCATTTACCCTGGGGGTGAGATTCCGACGTTGTTCCGAGAGACAAAAGACACAGAAGTCATCAACAGTGGTAACATCCCTGCTTATCCGCCTAAACTCACTGAATACATTCCAGACACGATGAGACAAATTACAAAGTATTTGTCAACATTGCACGAAATAAGCCTTTTGTAGAAACCGCAAACATATCAAATTAATGTTCACGCGAAATGCAATAAATTAAAGTCGGTAATTATCGGTGAAAAAGCTGCCAATGGTTGCGTAGGATGAAGATCAAAAGGACTGCGTTGGTTTGAATTGAGCAGAAAACTAGAGCATTTGGAACTCATCGGGGGATGCCTATGAACCAGAAGCTTGAGCGTCATCTTCGTTGGTAGACAACATACCGTAGTAAGTAATGTTTTACTACTTTAACTGGTTTTGGCTTGGAAGAACTAGTTGTGAAATGACTTCATTCATAAAGCGACGATGGAAATAGTTGGCAAGAGGCACTGTGAACACTGTAAGACAATAGTAAACCGGAAAGAATAGATATGTTCCAAACGGGAATCTGAGTTTAGCTGTGGGTGCGAAATGTGGACCACTGTACTGCGGAATGCCTTAGCATGGAATAATTAGAGCGCCCTGTATAGCACTTCTACATATGAACTGTGGAGACAGAAATCTACGCAGTAGAAACAATATCTTCAATGCAGTGGATGAGGTGACGGCAACCCTGAAGGCCCCGTGAAGTTTGAACGTTGAAACACCTTTGGCTTTAATCAAATCCACGCTAAATATCGTTCTCCAGTGATCAAAAACAAAACCTGAGCCCTGCTATGAAAGTTATTTGTTTTGCACATAGTTTTCGCTGAAATTTCGTACCACACGAGGCATGAGGCAGGAAGTTTCCTTGAGCTGCACGGAATTCCAGTCGTCAACCCAGTTTCAAAATGCGCTAGTGGAAGTGTGTTGCAAATTTGGATGGACTTCGTTGTAAAGGAGCAGAGGAAGTAAAAAGATCCATAGCCTTAATGGTGTTTCACACTATACATAATAACGGTCTACAGTGGTCTCACGTCGCCTGCCATCTACAAGCGCTGTTCTCACAACAAGAGACATGATCCGGTAAACAATGCTCACTCTCGAGATTAGTGACCAGCTCGGTCGGCGGATTGTAGCAAGAGGGGAGACAGCGCCTAATCTACCTACAGCGCTGCAAAACATTTGGTGCTTTCTGTCAAAGTACGAGGACGGAGTCCATACTTGCTGAGTTGTAAACTACAATCCAAACTATCAATCAGTTATGGGAAATTCGATAACCATTTGGGCAATCAAGAGCCGAAGACTTAATTCATGACGGAACCGGGTGAGAAAGGATGCTGACTGTAAGGAAACACTTTGTTTTTCGAGAACTCATCACACACAGATGTGGAGAGATTTGCGTATATACTGACTGATTGTATACAAAACCATTCCGACTAACATGCCCAGACAAATAAATTACGTATGTTCATGTAACTTTGTTAGGTAAAGTGATCCTTAACTTTGAATTAGCTTCAAATGTCACAACATAGATACCACAGAGGTGAACTCACAGACTGAGAAAATATAATGTTCGCGCAACATCTGATTGTACTGTACTGGGAGAAGTGGATGGAGACGAATCCAAAACAGACGTAGGTGAGCTGGATGGAAGGAGTGTCGACGGATTGGGTTCACTGACCATGGCATTGGTGCCACTGGAATTGAAAACGGGGTCTACTTCACCGGGAGAGGAGGATCGCAAGGTAACAGTGGGCTGTGCACTGGGTTCGGAATGCATCTCTTTCATCGTGGGAATGGATAGTTGATTGGGTGTAGATGAAAACGCGAGTATGAATAAGACAGTTGGTTTTATTGACATTAAGGAACCGTAATTTAATATTGATTTAATTGATCGATAAGAAAACATGGATATCTGTCAAGCCACACTACATAATGAATTCAGTCAGGTGTCGTTTCATTCAGTAAACCACCTAAATGACGGAGACACGACAAAGGTAATTAGCCACAAAGAGTATCATCGCTTCCCCGAAGTATTTGTTGACTGCATTGTCCAGAAGTTGGGTATCGTGGTATCAGGACCACAATCGGTCGAGATGCCCCTCCTGACCAGAAGCTTCGGAACTAATAAAGTCGAGAAGTCGTTCTTCGAACATGGACAAGGATAAGTTATTTGTTCTTTGAGTTTCAGCTGTAAAATTTCCCTAACGTTCTTAGACGAAGCTGGAGGGTAACGACTCACTGATCACGTAAAAAGTTACAATAATGCTTCATTCAGACAGAAACCGAGCTGCCCTCCAAAATGATCAACCCAGCAGCTTGGCCATTTCCTCTCGGCCACTTTTCCTAACAGTTGTTCCCCTTAGAAAGGACTCCGAAATAAATTCGACAAGTTTTGGAAAGTTATACGACGTGGAAGTTATCCCCCCCCCCCCGGATTCACGTTATGTTACCACACGCAAAGTGAGACATAAAGGAGAAATTAGAATTCGGGTTGCTATTGGTTTGTTACGTACACACAACACTTCCAGCGTGCCAAAAATGAATAAGGAATTATACTTGGGCGGACTTTCCCGGAGCCTTTCATCAGCAAAGACATGAGTGCAAGACACTCAGGTGGATCATTGATATTGTAGTCAACTGGGGGCCGGTAATTACTCCCAGCTCAGATCAAGGCCGATCGTTTAGGAAGCCGAGTGTATCCAACATACATTTTTGCCGGTGGCTGAGCAGTCAGGTGCGTCACACGCCGACCGTGAATGATTTGGAATCGTGGTTAAGCCAAATACTCCAGCAAAGTAATCAATGGTCTGTTGAAGCACCCGACACCTGATTAGGCCTTTCAGCTTGGTAGAAACGCCGCCACGAGGATAGTGACACAGTACCAGCACAACAAAGAATATGCGGGTGTATGGCTGGTCACCTTAGAGCACTTCGACCGTATGGGATGGGTAAGTCCGTTTGTTGTAGCAATTACTTGCAGTCGTGCTTGATCTGTTGTCCGATATACAGTCATACTACCTCAAATTTTGATACGCCCCCTAGGCAGCCCAGCATACCAATCGGTTGGGAGATATCCACAAGCGGTTAATTAAGCGTCAAGCAAACTTCCAGGAACGACCTACATTGCTGGTGATGTACCATGCGAGCTCTAAAAAAAACGCGACACCAACTCGGGCAGTTCTCTCAACTGTTGTGTCAAACAGGGTGTGCGCTTGTTTCTGGTTGGAGTGAAACACTGCTTGGAAATGTTACTTCTCATGGAAGTTTGCAAACATCAGACGGTTTACGTACAGATCCAGAGGAAAGCCATGCGCTCAAAATGTGGCATAACCCAGAGGATATGAGAATATTCCTCAGGTTGAATGGCATAATAGGTCGTCAGCCATGCTCCACGAAAAATAGAGAGAAAAACGCTCCCCGGGAGTAAGTGGGCTGTGGAAATGGGATGACGATCAACGAAAGGTCTTCGAGTGAGTGAAAAAAGTTGCTACAGAAGCACCAGTTTAGACTTTCGTTGGCGAATCGTAAGGTCCGGCTGGTGAAACGATAAATGATCAAAATAAGTGCACCAAGTAAAAACAAACACAATAGCAAAAGTGTTGATGGGGAATAATTGAGTCCCCAGCGCCATCGTTGCAACTTATTTATTAAATGCATGGTGAATTCCCCGATGGGAACGGCGTACACTTGAAAAAGTTTGGTTTATTGCATCACATATCGGTTGTTATACAGCAGCTAATGAATACTTGTAGGGAGTATACCGTCAGTGAGGATTCTGATGCCACAAAAACGAGCATAAAACAAGATCAAACATGCAGTGAACGCAAAGCTGGATGCAGGTTACGGAAGTATCACCAGTTCGACCTACCGAGAGGGCTCTCTTCGAGTGTACTGGTGCATCTATACTTTTCCGGTATAGATGGTTGGATGAGGGGACGAATGCAGTCGGAAAATATCGAATCTGAGAAGTACTGTTTTGTCAGAGTATCCCAGTCGACGGCCCCAGCCATAATCCCCTAAAAAGGATTGGGGAAATTTTGTAATTACAGGTATGTTCCATAAGAGTAAGGGGGGAAATAGTGGAAGTGATGTCTTTGGGCTAACCAATGACGATGACCAAGGGTTGGTGGGAAACCGACATAAACATCTGTGTATAATCAAAAATGATGTAAAAATATACCGACTAATTACCTAAAAGTCCGACAATGAACTGAAGCTCCGGAATTTTAAGCGTATCATTTGTTTCAAAATCGAACTCCCGAGACGTCCCCTCACAGATACTGAGTATGCAGACGATATTGCTCTCCTTGGTTCAGATCCTTCTCAAATGCAAACGAGTTTAAATAAACTAAATAACTCTGCCGCACGGTTTGGCATGCGCTTCACATCTGCAAAGTGTAAAGTGCTGTTATAAGACTGGGTGGGATCAAACTCACACCTCATGCTTGCAGCTGAGCCAATCGACATGGCAGATAAATTTGTTTACCCGGGCAGCTAAGTTCTGAAGGACTGGCTAAGGGTGAGAATATTTCTGGAATCGGGAAAAAACAGGGCAACTTTTGCCAACCTCCGACACCCATGGCGCCGACGTGACGTGGGCTTGTCTGCCAAGGGAAGAGTTTATACTGCGGTGGTGCGATCTATACTACTTTAAGGATAAGAGACGTGGCCCCTACAGGCAGAGGACATGCGGAAAATGTCAGTATTTGATAATCGGTGTCTCCGAAGCATTTGTCCGGTCTGATAGGAACATTGGATTGGTAATGTTGAGGTACGCCAGATGGTCTTAAGAAGAAGGAACTCTCTCTCGATAGATGAATTACTCAAGCTTCGTAGGTTACGCTGATTAGGACATGTACTCCGCATGCCAAAATTCTGTCTGCCCCACAGAGCTCTTTTCGCCCAACCCTATGCTGAGTGGAAACGACCAAAAGGTGGACCTGGCAAAGAAGTATGAAGACACTAACCAGTAAACTTAGTAAACTTAGTCGGATGGGCAAGTGCCGCCTCCCTGGATAGGGACCCCGGGACTCAAATCGCCAGTGGTTAATGATACTGGCGGGAATGGCCCAATCGCGCAGTCAGTGGCGCTCGTGCATCAAAGCTATTGCCTTCAAAGCGTAGCTACCCAAACAAACTGAACATGCCTCCAAGGCTTGTTTTTTTATTCCAATTCCCCGTTTTCCGGTGATCGAAACTGTAGCAGATAGAACCAATGTGCCTATGGCACACGATTTATAGCTGATAAATTGATTGAATGTGATTGGCGCCCGATCCCCAATTCACATCAAAACCTTCCCATACCAACAAAATGTTCAAATATTCTATCGACGGTGTCATGATTGTCATTATCCAGGGAAGAGTATGTCCCACATGAGCATTCGAAGCAACTGAAGGATAGATCCCAAACTGATATTGTCACAAAGCGAACAGTCTGGTTCAAATAAGTAGCACATGTGCAAATGATACACTTCAAAACGTTGAGTAACTTTCAGACCAATCTCTCTGCGTCCGGTTTCAATTCGGCGACGGGTTTGCCACAAGAACCATCACATATACCACCACCACTATCAAAATTATTGTCGATGCCAATAAAAAATTAATAAGGAAGAAGCGCCATGATAAACAGCTGAAAGGGAAGGGGTGGGAACTTAGCGGTAAAAATCTCATGTCCCAAGGTAAATCGATCAAGGAGGTGTCTCCAACTTGGAACAACAACGGAGTGAGCGTATCTCAGCAGCATATTGGATTAAGATGTTATCAGTGAGGCTGACCTAATACCCATCGCTAACCTGCCCAATAAAAAGACACAAGCCCTGGCAAGGCAGTTCATTTGGAGAGAAACCACGATTGCCACTTGCGCAGAATAAATTATGATCCGAGAATAGAATTAGAAGTCCGTCTCCACGGTTGTCAAAATGAAGTCAGAGAAATGCAGCGTTGTGTTGCACGCAGCTGTATGGAAAAAGGTACTTCTCGGTTGCTGAGGCCGAAGAACGGTGTCGACTTCGGGATGCTCACCAGAAGCCCAGTATTCAGGACGTCCGGTAAATTCATCGGGCCGCATATCTGCCAGTGAGCAGTATCTTGCCCCAGGGGTTACCAGCAGAGAATAATCACATGCTTTATACGTATTAATTGCATTATACTGCGGTCAAATATTGCGCAATAAGTAACCACTCTACCATTTTATTCACTCCGACAACTGCTGATGAGAAACTTAATAAAGGTGTAAGTCTTTCACCCAAAAATAAACTGTTTGCTGAGTCAAGGCGATAAAAGCTATATAATTTATTATTTCGATATACAGAGAGTCCTACAAAAATGTGATATCCTTTGAGAGCTAAGCTACCAACTTACATCAACGAACACAACAGATGCAGTGGTCCAAGACAGACAAGGGATCAAAGAAATCGGCTTCGGCCATACAGTTGCACATAGACTTGCCATCTAAAATGAACAGAAGCGGGACGATTCAATATGGAATTGATAGCTTGCCAAAATGACACAATGATGACATTACCTGCCCCTATTTTTCAAGGGATTCAATCAGAGTGAGCGGAAAAATCGTCGAACTTGGTGTTGTCCAATTTGGCCGAATTAACTGAATTAACTGTTCTATCAGCAGAACACACCACTCATAAGGTTGATGTCAAGAAAATATACTGTGACACTTCGAATATCGTGGCAATCGAAACACCAGGCGATCTTTTTGGGGGCATATTCCGCTGAAGAACGGCATAAACGAGAGATTCAGCTGAGTTTCTCGTTGTCACTAAACGTAGTTCATCAGAATATATCATTCGTATGACAGCTGCATGTCAGGAAAAACAAATTTGTGCAAATCAACATGAAAATAACGTAAGATGATATGACGAAACAACCAACGACCATCTACGCTACCTGGGCTACCAACAATAGCATTGGACGATTAAATATGGAGCTGTTTCGATATAGGGGAAAATAAACGTGTCACGAGGGTATAATCTTTATATCAAGGTAATTCAAAACTGCCATGGCTACTTCCTATGCGCACGAGAGGGCGAGCACACTCGGCGCAAGTTCAAGGTCAACTTAAGGTATGTTTCTAGGAAATATCCGCTCAGTCGACGAAATTTTGATAAACTTGGTTTGGCGAGCAAATTGTTCAACAGTGTGATATTTGTGAGGTGACGGTAGTCGTGTAGCCCTGTCAAGGGACGGTCATAAGCCAATCCGATATCTTTCTTTCAATTGTAGTGATAAGACCGGTGGTATAGTCAAGCATAATGCATTGTTTTGATTTTAGTTGCGACGCACGATAGTCTTTTCGTCATAGGCATCCCCTTCTGGAGAGTTATTTATGCTGAACCACTGAGACCTCATATCCTGTTCAATGTGTCGTCCACAAACTTCGCTTTATCAGTAGTCCAGAACCAGTGAAGAACTTTATGCTATTAATCCAAATAGGATTGGAACTAAAACCTATGAAACAAGGCGTTGTCGCTCCTGAATAGCACATCCTGTTGGCATTTATGAAGTGGGAAAGAAAGCAACAGGTACTTCGATGCCGCGTGGATGTAGCATTGTTCTCTCTATCTGGATCATATCGCGATTTAACGGATTCTGGTTTCGGGAATGTATGTTGCAGTATGTCGAACAATGGAGCAGTTCCGTACTGACCAGCCCGAGGCAAACAGGACTAAACCGAGGATGATACGCTTGTACATCGAACTTTTATGGATCGCGCACTTTCTATTTACTTCTGCCTTTTTCATGGCGTGGAGTTGATTGTTCACCAGTACTCTTGGAATGTTGGTGCTTTCAGTTACCGATATTCGCTCAAAGGGGGTATGTACGGCGATATCACTAAGCATGACTGGTATATGTTGTCTGTCGCGCGTGGAAAAAAACGATCAGCAATAGCACCTTTCCGGTGCCTAGCTGCCATGCTACCCGAAGAAAACACGAGGGTTGGGATACTGCCGGGTTGCCCAAGCCTAGACGGGGGAAGTCGAGAGGCGGAGGTCGGGTTCGAACCACTGACCTTCCGGTCAGTAAATTCGCGTTCTAACCACTTGGGTCATCTCGCCCCCGTCGCGTTGGGAACCAAGACATCACTCATACGCACTTGATAGATCTTTTGATACGACAGAGTGGCAAAGATAAGATTTGTTCCCTTCAAACTGGTGCTGCTTTTGTATCGAGGGTGGAGTCATCTCGCCCCGTCGCGTTGGGAACCAAGACATCACTCATACGCACTTGATAGATCTTTTGATACGACAGAGTGGCAAAGATAAGATTTGTTCCCTTCAAACTGGTGCTGCTTTTGTATCGAGGGTGGAAATGGCTATCTATCCCTACTTAGCTTCATCAGGCTTATACACATCAGGGCGACGCGTTTTTTGATATAACGCATCAAGAAATTGCCTAGGTGAAGAATTAAATAGTTTAGAGAAAAAACGAGTGACATGAACTAGATGCGGCTCTTTGATAGTTACTGGAGTCCGGTAAACGTGCACCCAGTCTGCTAATTACAAGATTCTACCCTGAATGGATATTATATCCCTTTACTCTGAGTGATTCACACTGTGCATCTTGGTTTCAGTGTCAGAAGAGAAGCACAAAGCAAATTGTGAGCGGCTAGAGCCTGTCTGACCTATTTGAAAAGTTAATACTGAGGTGACATTTTTAGACACTTAAAATGTATGAAGGTTCACCCTGAAGTGGAAATGTGTGAAGCGTCTGCAAAAATCGGAGTCCACTTTACAAGCGGTAATAAATTCATCGAACACACAAAGCTCACGAGTACGCAGCCGACAAACTTCTGAAGATTCGAGGAACGATGGATGATTTTGAGGACCTGACAATATGAATTCAACAAAAGCAGGTACATGGAAGAAACGTACATAACCGCCCATTGAAATCCCATGAATGGCAACAGGACCATATCCATTGGTCTCGCACCATCGGAGCAACGTCGCACACTCTGTGATGAGCGCACCGCCCATGATGAACAAATCGGACACATAGTTCAAACAAGAACCCCTAGAATCAATAAAAATGCGTAAACGATATATTCATGAGACAGTTGGTGGAAAACATAAGCATTTCGGGCCAAAACCTACAAACCGTGAGTAACCGTGCTTTGCTGAAGTTTGATGGTTATTGACAGATGTCAGGAACAAGGAGAACAATGTCCACGATGAAGAGAATCAACTAACTTTCATCGTTTCCTACAAGCCCTGTGCTTATCTTCGGCCTTTTGAACCAGCTACTTCACTTTTTAAACAGCTCACCACGTTGTGTTTTGCTCGCTCCAATGTGCAGACTGACGGTGCCAAGAGGAGTAAAAGCAAAGCAAACTAATCTACTGAGTGGACGTTTTTTCCGGGCGGATCAGATCAGGGAGCTTGTTTAATGCTGAAACAGTATGCTTACTGAATATCCAAATGGGCAAGGTACCTAGGGGAAATAGGGTAGGACTTAGCAAATGCAAATCCACCCGATAACCACTGGATAACTAAGACCCAGGGGATATCGGAGCTTCAATTACCAATTCGGGTTTCTCCTTCTGCAAGTCCACATTCGGTTACACGGAAGTCTACTCGTGATCGCCGTACTGTGGTTGGATGGATCAATTATCTCATTGTATCTATACAAACGTGAAAATGCACACCATGCAGCGTCACTCGACAAAAGCATGCGCATATGCTGCTTAAATTCAAGGACAGGAGAAACCGAACTTCTTATTCTCAAATCAAATAGCCACCACCAGAACAGCAGCATCAAGGTAGACACTAAATCTTCACTGTCGTACAACTGCAAACCGTATCTATGTATATTTAAGACCATGGAGTGAGAAGAGAGGATGAGAGAGGAGACCCGGTGCTCGCCTCTCGCAAGCGTTCTGAGGTACCCACACCTCCAAACGCTCAATCAGACACTGGTGAGCAATTGACAGCACGAAAGCTAATGATGTCGATCAGCCGTCGTTTTTCGCAATGTCTCCAGCCAAGCGAAGGAGGGGTCGGGGAGAAATCAACCTGGACGGCGGACCGCACTAACAAAGCCCAAACTCTTCGCAATCTTTTGCACACCCTTCTGTCAAGTCATACGCTGCCCACTTCACGATGTTCGCCATTCTGAAAGAGGCACGGAGAACAACACTCGTCTCGGTAGACGGTGTATGAGCATGCGTAGAACACAGCCGAGAGACCGCAAGATTTGATCGGCACACACCTGAAACAGCCCATCTCCGTTGTCCGTGCGTCTCGTATCCCAATGAATACGACCACCGGATTGGGTCTCAGCAGCGCCTCGTCGACCTAAGTGAGCGTTCATGACTGGGGCTTGCAGAGCGAGCACGAAAATTTGGGTGGGGTGAAGTAGAAGAGGGAAAACGTGTAAGTTTGAGAAGGGAGGTGTCCACAGTAGTATGTTTTCCCTTACCCTCCTTGCTAAATGCAGCAAGTAAGGCGACCCGGCTGGTGACACCACGCGACGACCGATTTGTCATGGGATTATTGTTGGTTGTATCGTGGTTGTACGTGGGCTCAACTACTGCCACGGCAACCACACCTAGACAGGAGGACAGTTAGGGTCCTCGACAACAGTCTTTGTAAGGAAGCAGTGTTTGGTGTGAAATACTAGTGTATTACCACTCCTAACGAATAAGTCTCCAAAAATGTTCCAACTTCCAACCTAGAGGATCAGGAGAGTGTGTTGGTTAGACCTCTGACCATTGTCCAACCTGGTATGGGACTCTGGGAGTGTCACACAGACACCCCCAGTACAATGCAGTGGGTCAGGGAAGAACAAAAACAGTCCAGTAAAATCAACCCGAATAGTACCCAGAAGCAAGAACTCTCTGTCGTTGTGGTGGGAGGTCCGAAGTCCTTAAGTTAAAATGATTTATCCGAGGAAAACGAACTAATTGGCAGAGCGTAAGGCGCAACCAATTAAAAAACTAACCTTAGCGAGTAAAGGATTAAACTTGAACCCCATAACCAACCAGCAGCGTTTCAGCAAATTCGAGAAGTCACAGTGCACGCATCATGGATGAGAGGAACTGTAGACCTCTAGATTGCCGGACGCGCGCCCTACCCGATGATTGTGCTCCACGTCACGCTCGAGTACCTGTACATCGCGTGAGATTTCCAACAACCCTAGCCAACAGATTGCCAACCGTGATTGAAACATTTGTGCGAATTACTCAGTCAGCTGGATATTGACATTATCCAGATATCCACAGAGTTTTGATTCAGACGGGCGAAGATGGGCTTAATAAGCGTTGCATGAACGAAAAAGGTGTCTGGAGATGGCGTGTCCCATCCTAAGAAATGCACAGTTTTTGGGAGCCTGTGCTCATTCTAAAGTGTTCTAAATGTGTTCTGCGGTATGCCCAGTTCTGATAGGATGTGCGAGCTAATTTCTGTTGAAAGCAAACGAACTCAAAAATCCTACAGTGGAGCTACCGGGACAATAATTTAAGACTATTGATCTACGTTGATCATTCCAGAACCACACTAAATTACGTAGTCCTGATCGCGAAACTCCAAGATTCAGTGGACAGGTAAGTTTAAAAAAATGAAGGCAGTTTGCTTACAGTGTGCGATTTTAAAATTGCAACGTCGCATTTGAAAAATGAGAACATACCCAAAGAATTCGACAGATACATTCATTTGTACAGCAATTTGGTTTTCATGGGAGGCTCACCCTGAATCCCAGCTGAATCTCTCGTCTGTAGTGTCATTCTTCAACATTCAGTTGGAAAATAGGGGCAAGGAACCGCGGAATGCAGTGTCACAATAAGTAATCGAAATGCTGATAGGCACTATAAACATTCGATGTGTTGGGATTCGCACGATTTATTCTACTATGAACCGGCTAAACCATTCGTACGTATTATCCCCAAAGATACGCAACAGTATCGTTATGAACAAAATGGATCATGTCATGGTGTTACAATTTGTAAGCTTCTGTGCTCCAGTGAGCTATGCTGTCCACGAAGCTGTCCACGTGATACCAGAAGTCTATCATCACATCAGACTGGGCTAACACAGTCTGCTAGCCCTCCAGGTTTGGAAGCATCTTAATGTCTCAGGCCAACTACCAATACCTCGCAGTCAAACTCCTGAACCAGAAATTTTGGTTAGTGGTCCTAATTGTCTTCCGGTTTGAGTAGGGGCGTCCAAGTGCTATCTGACACCACATGAAACCAAGAAGTATTTAGGCACCACAGCGGTCACCGCGGGGTGACACCAACCCGGGTACTGTATTTGCCGTATACTGTGGGGCAGTTAAACGATAACAGACTCGCGCTTCAATATGATTTTCTCGTGTTTATTTTCAGGATGACCCTTCTGTGGGTTCCAAGCATAGACTTCTTGGTCTTACATTCTCAGCAGTGACCAAAAGCGTTCAACCAATTACGTCTGCGTCCTAACGTCTAATTTTCGGGTCTCATCCTCCTATTCCAACTTATAATGTGCGAACTAAGAAGGAAACAGGTCAAGAAGTTATTCCAGCATGCACTTTTGCTACTTAATTGACAGGCATTTGCTGCGCCTCTGAAACTCGTATGTGAGATCCAAGAACACTAATCGGTATTTCGGTCACGATACCACCTACGAACTTCAGGCAACCTTGAATTTGCTGCAGCGAGTTACGTTGGCGTCAGCTCCCGACCTGAGGCTTCTTCGCTTGATCTCCGTAGAAAACTGTTTTTGCGCTGTTTGTTAGTTAGCATGCGATAGAATCTGTACTAACCGAAATAATACCTGCTCCCTGCACTAAGTTTCCGCATACGCATCAATCGGTCGCAGCTTGATTCGGTGAAAGGTACTTCTTGCCTAGAACGAATCACTCTACTACGCAGCACAAGGGTTTCAAGTGGTCTCTTGGTTGTCAATTATCTCAGTGCCTAAGTAGAACGTCTCAGTTCACTGGAGACGCAACTTTTTGGGCAGTCTGGCTTCTCTTCCAGACGTATTGGCAATGGTGGCCATCTTTTGAGACCTGGCAATGATTACTAATCGCGCTGCAGTGGTATTGGGTTCTCTACTGGTGATGGAGTCAGATTGACCGCGTACCCATTAGCAGACGATGGCGAGACTTTGCTCTCGACTGTCAACCATTCTGAACTATTTACGTAGATTCAGATCACGATATCGTCCGGTGTCTGTTTTCGAGATTTTTTCGGGGAGGCATAAGGAACAAACTTATCGTCTAGTCATCGAAAAACCTAACCCAAAGCTTAAACAGCCTTAGGAAACAGACCTAACAAACATGGGTTGTGAAAACCCCATCCTTAGGAAAATTCACCAGTACCTGGAACGAGGTAAGCACTGCTATTCACATGAAAAGAAGCTCAGCATGTATTGTTTCGTAGTACCAGACCGAATGTCAAAATAGTCACTGTTGCTTTTCGATGCAGGATGTTGTAGTCCTTCAGATGCTGAGTACACCTCAGTCAGAAGGTACTCCAAACGCATCTAGAGCAGTCTACATGCGGAAAGAGGAACATAGTAGAATCAGATCGTGGGAGCGGAGCGAACTATCGTAACTGGAAATATTCGAAACCAAACGGGACCAAAAGGGTCGGGTGTTAGTTAAGTCATCAAAAACAGTACTGGACATTCGATGTACAACAAGGACTAGTGCTTTGTGTTCAGCATTTCCGACAACGTCTTAACCCACTCAACTCACTAAGTTTATTCTTCAGTTTCTGAAGTATTAATATGCTTTTCTGTCATGAAGTGCTACTATGATACCTGAACCTCACGCAAGACGCAAGTCTGTGCAGTGTTTCGACTAGGTAGGGCAAGTGTTTGAGCAGTGTGATGCAAATCAACGACCAGCTGTGGGTAGTTTCCTTGAAGTCAGGGGACTGCTGACCAAATCAATAGGTTAATCCCTGTATACATACTTGGCTAACGAAAAATGCCCTAGAATTTTCTGCATGCTGTTCGTAACATTCGTTGCCATACTTTTGTCGGCGTTTGTATTTGCGTTGATCTAGCAAAAAGTTTTCCCACGACTAGCACGTTCAGCCAGGATTATCCACTCTCCACGTTCAATTTTTCGCGAATTTGAGTGTCAAAATCCCATCTGGAGAAATACTGGCAGACTCAGGGCATTCAGATGATTTTGTTCTCTTATTTGACGGTAATACATTCACACAGACTGATTCAAATAGAATGTTGGCATTCGCTTTGCACCTCCAAGGTGCAAAGAGCTTTAGTTTGTTGATGTGTTTATTTATATTGGCAGCTACCTGTGCAGTGACTATATTGTGACGGGTGAAATCAATGCATACATTATTGTGACACCAGCATTATTCACAAACTTAAGTCATCTCTGATGTCAGAAACGGATATCACGACTCTTTAGGGCGTGTCCACAAAACCACCATGAGAAAATTCCTGGTCGCTGGCTGAAAACCCTCTCCGAAGACCCTAAACACATTCAACTATTTGATCGCTGCTGTTGCCGTAACATGGGAGGTATAAGTTAGCCGAAACACGTACATAACGAAGCAATCTACGTGCGAGTATTAGGTAACGATTTACACTCGCCTGAGTAGCAGATAATGCTAACCAGGCTAAGGAGGTTGGGGCATGTAGTATGTATGTCGGCTTAACGTCTACCAAGGAAACTGATATTTTCCACTCTATAACCTTGTTGGCAAAAGGTTCGCGCAGGTAAGGCCACGAGGGAAAATAGGAAGCAAGAGCAGTTATTGTCGGGATGGGCGACTGGCATCTTCACAACTTCCTGGGTGGGGTCCATATAGTTATTGACGCACGTGGTTAGAACCCCTCCAGGACATGATACGTGACCGATCCCAGTGGTGAGCTAGCTGTCACATCTTACCCAGACTTTCTATCTAATGCTTGTCTATCTTCGTTGGGCTTGTAACGCAAACGACGTTGAGCCGATCCTGCTTGTGGTGTCTTGATCCAACACAATGCTCAATTGTGTTTAGTTCAATGGTTTAGGGAGAAAGAGTAATAATTGTTCATCTGTAACATCCTTTCGGTGCGTAGCTGCCATGCCACCCGAAGGGAGTATGGGGGGTGAGATATCGTCATACACGAGCAGTCGAGATGAAGGGGTTAGGTTCAAACGACGGGCAGTAAGTTCGCACTTTAACCACGGAGCTATTTCGAACTCGATGGCTCTAAAACATGCACGCATACTGATCATGCTCGCTTTCCATTAGGACGTAGGGATTTTTGCATTGGTACAATCCCTCTCCGTACTTTCTCCTCAATGGTCGTAAGACAGTAAAGCGCCAGCTGATACTATCGGCATACTGCTGCGTCTGACAAGGATACGAGAGTAATTTGGTACTGTCACTCCTTAGAACGGCGTGACCTAATCTGACAGACCTCTCTGCAAAGACCAAGAAATTATACGAATGCTCCACCTGTTTTGTAATTATGGGAAGAATTGTGTCAGCTGGGAAGTCCGAGGTTCGAAAAATCACCACAGTGATGCACTACTTATGTAGGGAGTGGGTAAAAATAATGATAAACAACGCAAAAAGGCGGAAAAGAGACTAGGGAAGTACCTAATCAGCTAAATGAAACTGACTCACCTTTGATCTTTTGGTTTCCGTTTCGAGTAAAATGGGTTCATTATGATAATCGAAGCAATCCCGTCTTCCAGAAGGCGATTCGCCAGGAAAAGACGTCGGCGGTAATATGTCTTAATACATGACTTAGTAACATAGCAATCACCCCACTTACGTGATCCCCAGTTCCAGCGAGCTGTAGGCATATCGGTCGATATTTTGGTATCCACTCTTTTGGTAAAATGAGCTGAAACCTGAGAGGTGGTCAGCAAAACTACGGCAATGATTACCGAGCTAGTTCGTTCTCCGGCAGCATAACCCCAGGCAAAGCTTTGCTGAATGGACTGATGAAAGAACCTTCAAGTATCACAGCATTCTTGCGCACAGTCCGCTGTTCAAATGTGATGGGGGACTCGTGCGCTACAAGTGTTTCAAACCGGTCGCGCCGTGTGATGAATTCCGTGTTTTCTACCAATCTTGCGAAGATGAGAATCTATGGACCAGCATTACTTGCGAAGAACTTCGGGTTTCCCCCAACCCTTAGTGAAAAACTTCATCGGAATAGCACTCCGATATATTTTGTCAAAGGCACTCATTGCGAACGAGGTGTGAAAACCTGTGGGAAGTTCAGGGTACACTCAGAGTCCAGCCCTAAAGGTACGGAACAACGGAAAAGTTGTATGGAATACCGGAACTTTAGGTCCAGCAGATAAATATGTAGAAGTAATGAAGTGTTAACAAGTGCACAATATGTGTGGACGAAGTTCACACGGATGAGTTAGCTCTATCGTTGTACGGCAAGTGTGAGGCTTATACAGCTGAAGACAATAATGTTGATGACGGGAAACCATACACACCGCGCCTAATAGTGATTAACCATGCTTTCTGTGAAATCATTCGGATATTAGTATCGCGAGAAAAAACAAGTCCAGGTACGGAGCGAGAGCAAGCTTCTAACATGCCAACGCGTTTCTTGTACGTAAAGGCATCTATGGTTGCTGAGGCTGCTCGAATACTGTCTACTCTCTGTTGTCACTTAAGTTCTGATAATAAATGTGAATGCAGAAGCTGGCTTAACAAACAGCAGAACCATTGCCGATATTATTTCAAGTGAATATAAAGGAAGTTTGTTAAAGATTATGCAGTTATGAAGGCGACCTTGGCCTTTGGGTAAAGCAACAACATACGCGCGTAAACAGCAGTAATTATAAATGATGTGACCAACTTTTGAATAGATGTGCGACCAATCCTCTATCTTTATCGGATGTCACCAAATGGATAGAGTTCAAAAAGTTACACCTTGGCCCAACGGTCACACCTGAAGACGACAGTGACTGAGCGAGAGTACTACTGTTTCTGGGTATATTGTGGGAAGCTGTTTTTGTGGACTTCAGCTCGACCTCCGCACCGCAGTACGTCATGATAAGTGTCTCCTCATATTAACTGAAGCATTTACCAGCACCACCATGGACGGAAATATACCACCGATGGAAACTGCTGTTACCGTCCATCGATTAAAGAAGCGGTCCGCCGTAAAAAAATGGAAATCCGATTGACCAATAGTTCATCGCATCCATAAATAGAACAGCTAAAGCGGTCAAAATTATAGCCATCAATGAACGCAGAAAATGGCCCCAAATCTCTGATACGTATGGCGGTATTGGCTGTTTCTGAGCTAGGCTATTTGCATTACTTGCAAAAATACACCAGTATTAAACACTTGACTGTCATAAGATCGTGGAAGAAAAGTGGCAAGGGAGAAAAGTTAAGGTGTAGTGCAAAAACGCCTCTCCCAGTAAGAGATGCCACCTCAATGCAATAGTGAAGCATGAGTGATGTGACGACTTCCATACTTGCCCCGGTTGCAAACTTTGGATATCAAGACACAGAAATATTAGGAAGACTGGAGAGGCGATCAGACGAAGTAGCATGCACCCAAGCTGCGAATAACCACACTTCAAGGTCTGGGTTAAAGTCATACAGACCCGCGCGACAGGAATGTGAAGGCAGTTAGCATACCCATATCCGTAGATTAAATGCTGCCTTTTTCCCAAAAGAGACGGTTCAGCGACTGACAATATATGCTGACAATATATGCCAACAGTGAAGCATCAAATAAAGGTAGAAGTTTATCCGCTTTGCGCCGCATCATTATGAGCCAGACTAGTATGTCTTACCGCTTGAGCCTTTGGGCTAGACCGTCCCCCTGATCACAGGTTAGTGAATAACATTGTTGAGTACCTCCAGCTGAACAGCTTCCACTAGCTACCTCGCGGATCAGGGGGCCCGAGCAACATCCTGGGAAAAAGCCTTCCACCATCGCCTTATGAGTTAAACATTTGGGTCAAAGCTCGAAGGTGATGCCGTCACGAAGAGACTGGACCTTACCGTGGTGTAGCGGTTTGTGTACCTCGGAGACCCATTGAGCTATACTGGGGGGTGTCCGCGCGACACTCGCAGAGTCTCTCATACCAGGTTGGTCAATGGTTAGAGGTCTGACGAACACAGTCTCCTGACCATCCAGGTTGGGGGTTGGAACATGTATGGCGACTTGTTCCGTAGAAAAGATAATGCATTTGCATTTCCTCGCCAAACACTGCTGCATTGCGGTTAGGCTTTTGAGACAAAGGCTTTGGTTGAGGACCCTAATCGTCCTCCTGTCTAGGTGTAAGCGCCCTGGCAGTATCCGAGCCCTCGTACAACCATGACCTACACAACTAACAATAATCTCATGCCACATCGGCCGTCGCGTGGTGCCATCAGCCGAGGCGCCTTACCTGCTGCATACAGCAGGGCGGGTAAGCGAAAACATGCTACTGCTGACGCCTCCCTTCTTACACTTTCATGTTCTCCGTCTTCCACCCTCCCCCACCCAAATTTGAATACTTTAGCCGCAGGTCCCAGCTATAGGTCTGACCGTTTTGCTCGCCCTGCATCACACTCAGCTGCAGCTTCTGCACGTCCGAGTTCAGTTACAACCCTAAACACTTCGAAGTCTGTTTTCAAACCCCGAAAGCCTGTCTACTTAGCCACTTTCAATGTTCGCACACTGAAGCAAGCAGGTCAACAGGTGGCTCTTGCGCGTACGCTGGATTCCCTCTGTATTGATGTATGTTGTCTGTCAGAAACAAGGACGCAGGACGCAAGTACTGTAATCGAACTGACTGCCCCCTCGCTCTCTTCCAGGTTCCGACTGCGCACCTCTGGTGATGCAGAGGCCGCTGCAGCTGGATATGCTGGGGTGGGTATTGTATTGAGCGAACGAGCGGAAGCGTCTCTGCTTGATTGGATACCCGTAGACAGTCGCCTCTGTGCGGTTCGTTTGGCAACATCGGTGAGAGAATCTAGAGGAAGTGAGGTTCATCGCACCTTGTTGATTGTTTCTGCTTACGCCCCAACTGACTGTAGCTCTGAATCAGCCAAGGACAGTTTCTATGACGCTCTAGGTGCCCTTCTACAACAGGCTAAAAGCTAAGATATCGTTGTGGCTGCTGGTGATATGAACGCCCAAGTAGGTAGACTAAGCGCTGCTGAGGCCCGATTGGGTGGTTGTCTTGTTTTGGACACTAGACGCACGGACAACGGAGACCGCTTACTTCAGATGTGTGCCGATCACAGGCAGTACGAATTTCCGGAACAGCGGAAATCGCTTGACAACGTGGTGCCCACCATCAAACCAGTGCCGAATCCAAATAGAACACATCGCCGTCAGTTATCGGTGGCGAGGGTTGATCACCACCTGAAGCTCCTTCGGGAACACCAGCGTGGACTCCAACCATGCACTTGTATGCTGCTGCTTTTCATTGCGCTTTTCAGGTGTACGCAAATCACGCACACCTCGCTTAGCCATTGAGAAGCTAGTTGACCCAGAAACCAAACGAAACTATCAGAAACAGCTCCTCGAATGCCTGCCGGACGGCACGGAAAATACCGTTACTACAGTTACTTATACCGAACCATCGTTTGCCGAAGAGAGTACTGTTTTCCATGCCCAATTCGGAGTGGCGTAAACAGAGAGGTTGCCAACCCTTGACTTGGTAGATGAGTATGAAGGAGATCACGAAACGCTTGGGTGCTGTCGGTGCTACTAGCCTTCCAGGATGGGGACCGCGTGATCCTCACTGTACCTGGTTGGAGACACTACAATATATGGCTTCCAACCGGTGTCAGTGGCGTTCTTGTTGTCAGTTTCTATCCAGATTGCCTGAGTGAATGTCTGGAGGTGTAGGCACGTCTGAATGAGTGTGTTAAGGAACCATTAAGTCCCTACCCCATCAAACTTTATTCTTTTCTTTCAGATAAGTCGTGGTTGTACGGCAGTGAAGCATCGGTGTTGAACACTGATATCATGCTGTCGATGATGATGAGGATGATGATGAAACTCAGCTGCGCTGGTCATTACCATCTTCTTGGATGCGGACCCCGAGGCGGGCCGTATCAATGGCTAGAGACATTGCCAGACATGGCCCAGCGGCGCCCTCAATGGCGCTCATGCATCTAAGCTATTGCCTTCAAGGCATAGCTCTTTTCCAACCCCCCACTTGACAGCCCACAGACAATGCTGGATTTATGCGCCAACTTATCAGTTCCCGCCTCCAATGTGCAGCTACCTACCCCATCTCCTCAAATCATCGGTGAACGAAACTGCGACAGCTACAAACACTTTACGATGAGTGCGCATTTATTACAGCTGACAATGATGATGAGGAGTGAGGCAGTAATGCCAAACTCCCAGCGTCATCGGATCAGGACACCTGCCTGCAGCCAATCAAGGCTGAGTTACTAAATCCGGGAATGTTCCCTCAAGAAAACCGTAGTAAGTGCTGTCTCGTGGTTGGTTTTTGAGTCAGCGGCTGGTGGAAGGGTCCTCGAACAGAACTCTGCATCCCCTCACTGCCTTGTAGGTTGGGCTTTTGAGCCAAACCTAATCGAACCCCCCTTTTAGCCTGGGTAACCAAGATCCATTATTTGGCTTCATTTATCGACCCTTCCCGCACACCCCTCACCCATCGGATGATGCGAAGGGGTCGCGCGATACGCCAGTCCCCAAACCATTTTTCACGTCTAAACTATCGCCCAGAAAATGATGTCGAATTGGACAACAGACACCTACTACAGAAATTCGCTATTCCTCTCTATAGATGTATACTGTGTTTCCGGGAACGCACTCAAGACCCCACTACAGTGGTCCACCTCAAAGCACCTAGGTCCATATGTTCCACGTTTCATGTTTCAGGTATCTGGTGATCCTGACGCATTGGCTCGTAGTATCTACGATGTGTGTGCAACACTCCATCTCAAGACTAAAAGCTCTTTACTCGAGTGGAACCTAGTAACCACTCTTGGACGGAGTCCTCCACCCAAAGAGTACTCTGCCCGCTGTCGCTGCTTCGGCCATGAGCCTAACCCAGAAGAGATTGGCCAGAGGATCGGATCACTACTTGTCAAGCATCAAGGCTGGCTCTGATTGGCCGAAGGTGTGGATTGGATGGGTCAGTATTCACCGAATACTTGTGGCCAATAAAGCGTCCAGAGGAGGTACAAATTTCCAGATCGTTGTCACCGCACATTTGAAATACGACGGGACATCTATGTG